TGTGCAGAAGGCTAGTAACAGACTAGCTGTGTGTCATGGAACCCCATATGGTAAACAGCTTACTTCGTCCCCTCCAACCTCAAGGACCTCTCCACAAATCTAATGGGTGATACTAATTTGCAAGTGTTTTGGAGCTAAGCTACTGAAGATTATTTTTACCCTTCTCAAGGGCATAGTATGACTGCCAAAATTACCTGAGGAATAAAAGATCAAGCAAATATTTAAAAGTCAAAATAGCTTCTGAGGTATAGATTACAGGCTTCAGTGTTTTTTTTAAAGTTTTCCAAGTGATTCTAATAATGAAACAGAGTGAGAACCACCAATGTCAGTGCACAAAAATATGCTGACTGGGCATACCACCCCTGCTTCCCTTTATGTCTTGTCCCTTCTTGACCCACTAGTTCTTTCTTTCCTTATTCCCTCCTCCAACGTCACTTCAGATGCCACCACTCCTAGAGGAGCTCCCATCATGGTAATGGAGTCTCAGGCCTCCATTTTACTGCAGGATGAAGAGGTAGCGATGATTTTCCTCAGATTGCTCATCTCTACAGCTATTCACCAGCCTGGGCAAAGAAGTCAATGGGACTCTCAGCCAGAAAGATTTTCTGAAGAATTCCAGAACTTGCCATCAACCCATTGTGGGACTAGATCATTAATATCTTCTTTCCTAAAGAAAAAGACCAGATAAATATCTGTGACTTCATGCAAACTTTGGCTCATTTCTGACCCACTGAGGATAATGAAAAGAGCAAAGATGTGAATGAATCAGAACTACACCATAGCCAAAGCAAGAGACTACACTTTACATTTTGACCATCTGATCTGGATAAAGATCCATGGCAAGCTGTAGTAGGTGTTTGGCATGATGGTTAGAGTGAACATCTTAGAGGAGCAGCTGGCCAGCACTGAAGATCCCGCTGATCAGGATAGAGTCAGCAGTGCCATTGCCTTCACAGAAGTTTGTTAAATGTTTTAGAGAAAATGGACATACAACAGAAAAAAAAAGCATTCTGTTTCTTCACTAAAGTAGAGACCACATTATTACTTGCTGTCTGGTATTTAAGAACTGGAACTTAAAAAGCCTCCTTGTCCACCAGCCTCATGGTTCCCATTTTCCCAGAGCTCTACTGCTTTTGCATGAAAACTCCAAACATGTTCTATCTATCTAGACCTACCATTAGTGTAGAAATAGGGCACTGCAGAATGGTACACCAAGTCTCTTATTCTGTAGCCATCTATCAGCTCCTTTTCTTAGTACAATAGGGTCTCCTATTCTGTTGCTAAACACCATACATCCATCTAACTCTGAAAAAGTCATGCTACTCTGAGAGGAAATTATGCCCAGAACTGGCCAATAAAGTTCTCACTAGGTACAGATGCAGCTCTGCTGCCCTTCCTCCAGCAAGGTTTTGGTATGCTTCCGAATCCTTTGATGCATCCTTTGCTTTCTGTTTCCTTCAGCCTACCATACACTCAGGTTTTCACTCTGCTTTTTACTCAGGGTAAAATGTCCGTGTTCTATTCAGTGCTTCAAGCTATGCCTATTAAATCTACTTCTGACTTGGTAAGATAGTTTAGTGGACTGGCAGTTTTTTATCTACCTTGACTCTCTTTTTTAAAATTTATTTTTTATACTGGCATTGAACTCATGACCTTGTACTTGCTAGGCAGGCGCTTTTGCTGCTGAGCTAAATCCCAGGCCTCTACCTTTCCTCTTAAATGGGTCTCTCAGGTGTTGCCTTTCTAGGAGCTCTTTGGTAACCAACTCTTCTCTTGGAAGGATGTGACTGTCTTGGTCTCTTGCACTGTTCTGTCATCAAAGGGCTTCTAGATAGAAATGGAAAGGTTGCCTTGGTGAATAACTGTTCTAGGTGGCTTGCCCAAGTCGCCCCACTTCTGGCTTCTGATTATCAACCTACATATCTGCATGACTTCTCTTATGAGTGCTATATCAACTGTTCAAAAAAATCTTATGCCTGCAAGTTTGCTTCATTTTGGGACACCATCACCACCAGAGTGGCTGTTCAGTGCGCCTACAACCTTGTGGCTTTTTGAAGAAAAAGCTGGGGAGCCCCTAATGCCTCCTGCACTCACATTGTATATACCGCAATGTTACACACACTGGAAAGTTTCTCCCTTCACATTTCCAAGTAGAGCAACCAGTGTTACAGAAGGGCCAATTTATCTCAGTGCAAGAGAATTAAAGGTTCTCAATGTCTTGAAGTTTTCTACAAATTTTTTTTTATAAATTTTATACTTGGCCAGTTGTTGGTGCTAGAAGGCGTAGCTCCTCATAAAACTCCAGAGACTTTAATATATTATTTGCTGCCATTTATATTATCTTCCTACCTCCCGTATAGACCACTGTTAATCCCTTAGAAACAAAGGACCTGGCACTAGTAACACAATGTATGGTGGCATTACAGGTCACTGAGTGAAACCACAGCAACATCTCTGTCAAACTCAGCTTAAACTCTGCTGAATCAGGCTGTTGCCATCTTCTTCTGTCTGTATGAATCCATTCATTCATGCATCTGCCCTTTGCTTACTTTCTCTGACTGGTTTTGTTTCTCCAGAAGGCTAAGATGTACAAATCATTATTGAGGAAATGAAATGCTTTTTTAAAAAGTACAAAGGAATGGATAAAGGTGGGGGACAAGGGTGTGTCCAGAGTAGATGGCTTAAGTATAAATATATGAGGAAATTTTTATGAAGTACCAGTCTGACTTGATGAAGCGATATAGGAATTATATAAAAGGGAAGAACCGTTTGATACTGTTACGGTTTGTGTTTGGATGACCCCCTAAGCCTCATGTAGTCATGGAAGTGGCCAAGTCTAGCGTTTGTGATTGGTTTGTTGTCTAGCATTGGGATTGGAAGTGTGAGTGCTGTACCCACAGGCAGCTGGTATACAGTGTAAGAGAGGGAAGGAGGTGTGCTTAGCCCTTTTTGCTCTTGTTGCTTGCAGTCACCACGAATGGCTGCTCCTTAGCTATGCACCCTGCCTTGGAGACAGTTGAGTATGGACTGAAACCTCCAAAAATTGTAAGCTAAATAACCTTTCTTCCTTTCATTTTGGGTGTCAGGGATTTTGTCCCAACAATGAGAAAAGTAACCAAGACAGATTACCTCTTAGGTAATTCAGAGGCTCCTGGTTTTGTGTAGTTCCTAAACTAACCCCCCCCCCCGGCTCTATAGCAAATTGTTTTAATCCATAGTTGTGTCTTATTGTCCCATTAAAATCATATTCTTTGATCCACTGATAAATACTTGTGGTTAAAAAATGTATTGACTGATGAGCACTGAGGGAAAACTAGAGAGCTAAGAAGATGGCAATAGGAACCCATAGTAGCTTGCCAGGAAAAGGCAGCATAAAAGAGAACTAGATAAAAGGCTGGCCAAGGCCTGACCTTTTCCCTGTGAGAAGTAATGTGAGTTTTGTTTCTTGTGATCAAGGGAGCTGTTATAGCTTATATCTATGTGTCTTCCAAAAGCTTCATGCATTCATAGGTAGGGCTTTTCATAGGTAGATCTAGGATATGTGCTACTGGGATTAAGGATGTGTAGTACTAAATAAGCCTACTGATTGTTTTAACATAGTTTTAGGTGTGGATAATGGGAAGACCCACCTCACGTGTGGGTTGGCACCACCAAAAGGCTCATAGCCTGGATGGGATAAAAAGAAAAAGGATACTTGCTACTACTGCTGCTCTTGCTACTGCTTTGCTACTTTCCTGCCTGCCCTGCCATGGACTGTTTCTCCTCTGGCATGCTTCTCTGCAGTGCCACCCTGCCTTGGAGCAAGCTGACTCTGAACTGAAATCTCTACATATCATGGGCAAAAATAAGCCTTTCCTCCTTTAACTTGTGGGTATTATGAGTGTTGGGCATTCTGTCCCAGCAACAGAAAAGTAACTAAGACAGAAGCCCAATGAACATCCTGTTAATGTCAAGCCTGAGCTCCTTAGAAAGAGGGAGTTTTGCCTGTTTAGCAACACTTGAACAGAGGGACATACTTAGCCAGCCATGCCTATGTGGGGATGCCCAAGGCTAGATAGACAGAAACTAGGACCTCAGATAACCCACCTCAGCACCAGCCACAAACTAGGATACAGGGAGATGAAAGGGCTTACAGTATTGGCCCAGTTTGACCAGAGAATATACAGGGCCCCCTTGAGCCAGTCAACACGAGTTCCACTAAGGAGTGAAAAGCTGCTTCAGGCTCCTTAAACTCCTGTGTCAGCTGATAGCTTCTGACAGGAGCGCCTTCTTACAGTGTGTGCACACGAGGGCCTCTGCAGATCCTGCCACTCACTAAGTGAGTCAGAATCTCACCTTTATCTCTGAGCAGAAAGGCCTTTGCCATAGTTAGCCAGCCCTGAGTGTTTCCAGGAGAGTTGCTTCCTAGTGAGTAAGTTTCCTCTGCATAAAGTACCCAGTGGCCTTTGAGACAAGCAAAAGTCTGCTCCTTTGGCTTCTTCTGGAACATTCTAAAAAATGAGACCAGGAGACCTTTGGTGAAAGTGGCAGAATGTTTAACCAAGCTCACTTTGGCCACAGCAGGGACTGTCAGGCTCCTGAAGTTCAAGATTATTTCAGAAGAATTGATGTGTGGCGATGGAAGCAGGAATGTGTCTGTTTTCTGAACCCAAAACACCAAGCCTGGACAGGAGTTTCAGGGTGTGTGTGTGTCTGTGTGTGTAGAAATGGGGAGTAAGAATTATTCATTCTGAAACTTGACATAAAAATATTCTTCACTGATCTGTCTGAGATAAACAAGATATGGAAATGAGGTCCAAAGGGAATCTCCCTCCAAAGCTAGTGAACTCTTATGCCCCATGGCTACTGCCCAACTCCTCCAGAGCTGTTCGCACAGGCCACATTTGCTGATGGCAAGCCCAGGACTCCTACCCGATGTGAAGATCTCACATGGCTGTACAGGTGGGGGCAGAGTGACACACATCAGAGATGTAACATAAAACAGCATACTGGCAAGCAGACACAATTAAATAGCACTTTTAATTATCTCACAACAGACTGTAGTAGAAATCATTTTTTTTTTTTGAAAGTCACTCCCCATTCCTCAACTCGGTTATGTGGCTGAGGAGCCAGTGATGGGCCACAGGAATTCAGGTAGTCACCGTTCCAAGGAGCTGTAAGTGTTTCCAAGTCAGAGTTGCTTATGAGCAGCCAGAGCCCTATGAAAAGTTGATATGCACGCAGGCACTCAACACATACATGTGCAAGGAACACAAAAAGAGAGAGGGGTCCATAGAGGGCTAGTCACACACATGCGTTCTCATGCCATGACATTCCAGTCTGTGGCTGTCTCATCTGGGGACAGAACAGTGGCCTGAGCCTGGAAGCAGCATGTGCTGGTCAGAGGAAGTGGAGGGGGACCATCTGCATGCAGCCTGGCTGCTGTGATACAGCAGCCCCTGACACAGCCAACCCTTCTCACTGTGGCTGCAGGGGAGTGGGATGGGCTCCAGTGCAAGGGGCCAGGCATTACACCTGCCAGCAGCAATGGGGCAGGGATGCCATTTCCTCTTGGCCCCACTAGAGGGCACACTCTGTCCCAGAAATGAGAAGAAAGAACGAGCTGTGACCAGAACCTTGGAGCCACAAGGCTGGCAGCCTTTGGTTCTGTGTCTAGTTCTGTGCTGGGTGTGGGGGGAGCACAACAGATCCCCCGCCATGAGGTGCTGGGCAGCACTGCTACAAAGCAGTCAGAGAGGAGGCCAGAGGCTGGCTATGCCCTTGCGGGGGCGGGGGCAGGGGAATGGTGCAAAAAAGGAGGCCCTGAGGTGAGGATATTTGGGGGGCCTACTGGACAGGTCAGAGAGAAAACCTCTTCCTTCACAGCTTCGCTCAGGGATTCTGGAGAGTGTGGATTCAAGTACCAGCAGTTCTGGGTGGGGGTCGAGGGGAGTGCATGGCAGATGCTGGGAGAACAGCTGCCCAAAGACCTGGGAGGTAGGGAATCAGCCTGGAGGGGCTCTGGGTCCTGGCACTGCCAACCCCACCCTGAGGAAACAGACCAGCGAGCTACAAGATCTCCTCCCGTGAGCTCTGGGCCTTCAGTGGGGTCTGCCCGTTGGGCACAGAACCATTCTGGCCATGCAGGAGTTTGCCTTTCTCCCGGTCTGGCCACGTGAAGATGGCATCATCGCTGTCCAGCTCCGACTCGGAGTGCATCAGGCTGCTGCTCAGCGTGGGGCCTTTCTGTCTGATACCTGAAATGAAGAGGAACCTGGTGTCCAGGGACAAACCTCCCCAGCTCTGAGCTGTAGCCATACCTTCAGCCCAGCCTGCAGAGCTGGGTGACAGATAGCCCAATCCCCTCTCTGGTCTCAGGCCTGGATGGCTATAAGAGACCACTAGGAGAAATCACAGAATGCACAACCTGGAGATCAGACTTGTGCTCTATTGCTGGGACTTCACCTGTTGTGGCCATGAGCCTTGGTTAGGGCTGGCCACCAGTGGCATTCTGTTTCCTTTTTGATCTGGACTCTTTTATCAGGTCCCTTCATTCCACCTTTATCAGGGTGGAATAAGATGGGAGGCAAACAAGCATAGGGAATTCAGAGTTGTGGAGTGAGCTTTGAGTGTCTCCTGGCCCTGCATGGACACTGTCCCTTACAGCATGAGGATACAATTTCATTCCATGTAGCCATGGGCTTCATGGGCTCTCAGTGTATTTTGCCCTCCCAGGGTGGGCACTGAGGGGAGGGAGGATGCAGATGTGTGGTTGGCTAGGAGAGCTTGACTGAAGTGGAAAATGGTTTTAGGAAGATCCCACTCAGCAGCAGGATGGCTGCCCTCTGACTGGTGCAGAACACTCCAGAGAAAGCAAAGCAAGTTGAGAGCAACTGCAAAGTGGAAGATCCTACCCTGGCATCGTTCTGGCTTGTTTCTTAAAATGGTGATCAGTCAGATGGTTGGATGAGCTGTGCCTGCCCAGGCAACACCATGACCTCATTATCCAGCATTCATTCTCCAAAGTATCAGAAGAAGCCCTGCCTGGCCAGCCTGCCTTAGGCCATAAGTACTCCAGGCTCTGTCACTTGGGAACCATATGCGCCTGCTAACCTCAGCAATGTGTGATTTTCTCCATGCAGTGGGCCCTGGGCTCAAGCAAGCGGCTTACTCAGCCTCGTCCACATTAGGCAAAGAGCCATGGGACATGACTGCATGGTCACTTTATTCTGAGCAGCAAGGCAGCAAAAAAGCATGACCACAGAAGAGACCGGGAAGCCTAGGCGTCTCTAGTGTGGTGGGGATAGTGGGCAATACAATGTCCAGGCCAAAAGAAAGGCCTTGCTTTGGCCTCTAGAGGTCAGACTCAGCCCTACCTGTGTCTTTTGGGGGCTTTCCCCTTGCAGCACCCACTTGAGCCTCTTTTCTTTCCCAAAGCCCCACTGGGCCATAACTGCAGAGGACAGGAACACACTGGGGAGATCCATCCCTGGCTCTACAGCTTCAGATTCAAACAGAGCCCTCCCACCACTAGCTCCTGCTCAGCTTGAAGAGCCAAATGAAATTTACCCATGAAAAATGACAAGATGGACACACGTTCAGTGTGGCTCAACAACACATTCCTCATTCCTAAGTCTATACCTAACAAATCCATATGTATCTACCATAGACATGAACAAGAATATTCACAGTGCTCATAAGACGAAAAAAATTTCAGTTGTCTATCAATGGTACAAATGCAAATAAATTTATTCACACAAAGGAAATTCAACAGCAATGTGAATGAATGAACTATTGCTAATACAGAACAACAGAGAAACGTCATCTGTTCTGTTCAGTGAAAGGAGCTGAACACAACTCCATGTCTGCTACTCAAGATATCAGAAATAAATGAGGGGAACACACCAGAAAGTACAAAGGAGGGTGAAAGGCTATTTCCATGGGTGTGTTCACTAGTGAAAACCTATCATATTATAGTTAGAATTTTGTACTATTAGGTTGAACCACAAAACTGCCATCTTCGTAGGTCCAAAAATCAAATATTAGCAGTTTCATGTGATTTAACCTAAGTTAAATACTTTTAATAGAAAGTTTGAAAAACTAGAAGCGCAAACAAAACCAGGTACAAAGCTAGAGCTGCTGAATACAGACCCTGTCTCCTGAGGTAGACATCCCCACGAGCCCTAGAGCCCTTGGTACCCAGAACCCCAGAAGTCACTCTAGTGGGGCCACCCTATTTGCACATTGCGTGCTGCCCTGGCTCTCCAGACCCCTGCCACACACCTCACCTCTCTGCACTACATTCCCCCAAACTCATCTTCTTCAAGCTGAACTTCTTTAGTCCCACACCTAATTCAGCATAGTCCTGAGTCCCCCTCCCAGCCTGCAGTTGTAGGGAAGTTCTAGCTGGTCACACTAGATGCCAGCAGACCTCACCATTCCTTCGGTCACATGCTACCCACAAGAGCAGAGCTCTGTCCCTCACCTAGTGTCACCCTATGGCTGTGGTGAGCTGCACGCCACCAGCTTCCAGGGGCTCTCACCCTGCGTAGTCTGTTGTGCTCACCTCCCGGTCTGCACTGTTAGCACACTTCATCCACTCCCATTTCAGAAGAGGCACCTCAGTGCCAGAGCACCCTCTGCCCACACCTTCCTGCAAGACCCTCACCACCACCAGGCCCAGCATCTTCATCCCTGTTTCTGGCTGCAACTGAGGCAGCCTGGGCCCTCTTTACCCCCAGATGTCATTGCTCAGCTTTGAAAGGGACTGTTAAGGCCTCATCTGCCTTCCACCCTAGCCCAGCCCTCCCACCATGGCCACACTCACCACTTTGCTCTAGTTCTTTAGGTGTCTGGGAATGACCAAGTTACCATTCTGAGACCCCGGTGGCAGCAAACATGGATGCTCACTACAGTACACACCCACAGACCCCATACCTAACCTATTTTAGGCTCCTGGGCTTTTCCCTGTTCAGGGCTATGACCACTTACAGTGCTGATTCTCACCAGGAGAGAAACTGCTCACTCTGGTTGGGACTTCCATGTGGGACCATCCTGTTGAGTGCAATCTAATTCCTCTCCCCTTACTCAGTCACTGCTCCAGATGCCCTATCCTGCTAACAACACTCATTCCCTGCCTCTGGGGTTAGAAGTGAGCCTTGACTTTGTCTGTCCCTTGAGTTGCTTGTACTACTAACACCAAGCAAAGTCACCATCACCTCCTCCACGAGTCACTGCAAAACTCTCCTTACTGACCTCCCTAATTATCCTCTCCCTTTCAGCTTGGTTATATGTTGTCACCAGGCTAATTTTCCTGAACTTTCAAGATGTCACGTCTCATGAAATCAGGCAAAAGCTTAGTTCTTCACCCCTTAGAAAAGCAAGAAGCTAAATGTGACAGCTCATGCCTGTAATCCTAGCAGAAGGAAGCTGAGGCAGAAGGATTCCAAGTTTGAGCCCAGCTTGGGCAACTTACCCTGACTTGTCTCAAAATAAAAAGGGATGGGGATGTGGCTCAGTGGTGGGGTAGGGGGCAATCCCCAATAGTGCCCCCCCACCAAAACAGAAGCTCCTCACTTTCATTAGAAGGAACCACAGAAAGGCCCTGCTCACTCATCCAGCTGAGTCCACTCACTCTAGCTCACCTGTTCAGCCTGTCACCTGCATCTACTCCCTTGAATGTCCTCTGCCCCCTAAGTGACAGGGCCTTTGGCTGCCTTTACCCTTTTTCCCACAGTCCAGTCTTGCGCACTGGCCTCACTCATAGCTACTCAGCTTCAGGTGCAGCTTCAGTGTTTTTCTTAACACTTTTCACAATCACATTTATTTATCTGTGACTGTGACTCTGGGAGGTAGGAGTGGTGGTGGGAAAGACATTTTTTGGACAGACACATAAACCAGCAGAACTTGTTCAGAATAGACAGAGATCAGCAAGAAGAAAGATCCCAGAAAAGTGAACTGATGTAAGCTCACAAAGACTGTGTTGACCAAAAATTGAAGCTTTTTGGGTTAAAAATAATAAATCACACTAAGATTTTAAATTGGGAGCAGAGGGACATGACCGGAATTAACATGCAAAGTCAGGTTTGGCCTCCATGTGGAGGTGGTTTTGCTCTTGGTCTTCCCTCTGCCCACCTTGGGACTCATTTTAGGACCAAAGAACTCATAACGGAGCCTCACAGATGTAGGGCCCAGATGCCTGCCTGAAAACACACTCTGCGGAGGCATCTTCTCCCTTCAGGCTGAGATTCTCTGAGTGCAGAGCCTATATCCCACAGCCTTCCCTTAACATGAAACTTTAATCTAATTTAACACTTTTTGTGAAAATAGTTTTACTTGCAGAGGACTGAGGTCCTGTCCTGTAATATGCATAAAGAAGAGGACCTCACCAAATGACTGAGCCCAATGAGGAAGGGAGGCTCATCCCCAGATCTGCTGCTACCACGGTACCTGTGCAGTAGGAAACCCTTCCAGTGGGAAGGACCTGACATGTGATCCAGGGCTCCTGCAGCCACCAGGGAAGCTGCCCAGGATGCCCTACAATGGCAGGTGAAGGAGGGAGAAGAAGACAAGTGGGCAGATCCTGGCCCTAATCTCAACTCTGCCTGGAGAGGACAAGCTGGTTAGGGCTAAAGGACCAAGGCTGTGACCCTGACCACGCAGAGTAGCTTGAGAACCTAAGCACAAAGAAGGCCTGGCTCCCAGCAGAGCAGGAAAGGAAGGCACCATGGAGGGAACCTGCCATCCCCTGGCCTGCATGTGGCTCCTGCACCTCAGGGCCCCTGCAACCCTCAATCGCCATTAATTCTCACCAGGCAAGGGTACAAAATATTTCTGCAGCACAGATAACTGTTAGCTGCCAGCCAGCTCCTGGCCTACCTGTGCGAGAGGTTGGCTTCAGCTCCTGGCTTTCCTGATCGGTGGCGTCCAGGATCTTGTACCTGCTTTTCCTCTTGGGTTTTCCTTTTTGCCTAAAAAACATAATTCCCACTCTTGCTCAGGAGGGGTGGCTCAGGACAAGCGCCGTTGCATGCAGGGTGCTTCTTATGAGGAAGGGAACCCTAGGGGAGAGGTGTCTCCTCACTTTTTGGCCAGGGAAGGAGGCAACTGTGATTTGTTTATCAACAATGTTCCTCATCATCCTTGAAACACAAGGGAGCTATGAGCACCTTAACATGGTCTCATCTTGCCACAGCAGCAAGAAGGATGGTGAAAACAGAGAGAAAATGCAATCTCTGCTGAGGATGTGAGAAAGTCATTAATGATGGCTGCCTCTGGCTGGTAGACATTTTAAAAATCTTTTAGTTTTCTAAGTTTTATATGAGGTAATATTGCAGATTAAATCCCAGCTCTGTTGCTTACTGTGTCCTTAGATGGGTGATTTTCCTGAGCCTGTTTCCTTATCTAGAAGATGGCAAAAGGTATAAAAGACATAATCTACAAAATGCTATCAGTAAACATAGAAATCATACTTACTAATAATGAGAAACATGCAAGTAACTATGCAGTATTATAGATAAGAAGAACCCTACAGCAGTTCGCACATATCACAAAGGTGACTCTACAACTGTGTGAAAGCCTGTTGTGCAATTCCCAACCACAAAGGAAAGAATAAAAACTCTGGGGTCCAGGTGGGAGACTGAGATGGGAACCATCGCAGGACACGCATCTGAATGCAATCTGGTCCACACTCTCCCACCCTGTGGTGCCAAATCTCTTAGCAACAGACTCTTGGATGGGTGTGCCGCTGCCCTTAGAGGGCTTGAGGGAGAAATCTTGTGTGGGCCTTGGGTGCAACAAACCACTCTAAATATGACTGAGAATCCAGTCCTGTCCCTCCATGTGGAAGGTGCCACATACCTCTTTGAGGAGAAGCCATGCCAAGGAGCCCAAGTGAATTTCAACAGAGAATCCATCTTACCTCTTACAACAACAGATTACAGTCCAGGACAAGATTCCCAAGGCAACAACAATGACAAAGGTAGCAATGATAACATACAACACGCTCCACTCTGCAAAGCAAATCAAAATAGTGAGACTTGAGAGAGGAAGGAAGACAGGTAAGGGCAGCCCATCTCAGGCAGGAGGTGGTATCATACTGTGCACAAGAAGGCACCTGGGGCTCCTAGGGAAGGCAAGAGTTGACGCTCCCAACTTCTGAAATGTGCTGTTTCCCAGGCCCTGCTCCAGCAGTGCTCTCAGGCACTGCAGCCATGCCCGGAGCACAGGCTCACAGAGGACTGCGGCTCCATTAGGCCAACCATGCAGGGGAAGCTAAGGAACAGGAAGCCTTGCAGCGGGGCAGACGGGGCTGCAGGGTACAGCGAGTGGTCTGAAGTAAGCCTGGTTCTTACGTGACTGCCTCAGAGCTTTCTCTAACCTGTGGAGGAGGAGGAGAAATCCTCTGCAAACAGAAAATACACAGAGTTCTCTTTGCCTGCTCATCTGCCTCGGAAGCATCAACAGCCACCCCCTCAGCACAGCTCTACATTCTAGCCAAAGCAGCTGGCACCAAGCCACACACACTCACCACAGTTGCTGTCGCCATCCCTCAGCTGCACCTTGATGAAATTCTCCATCCAAAAAGGATCACAGATACAACGTTTGGTAAACGAGTCACAGTGGCCGTGGTCAGAACAGTTCAGCTGACATGCTGCAGGTGGCAGGGAAAGGGAGAAAGAGAGGTTCAGGAAGACAAAAGTGGCAGGTCCAAGAGTTTTCCACACGCAGCTGAGGCCGTGGTCACCGCGCTGCCCCGAGAGGGCGATAGCAGCAAGGCCACCAGGGAGACAGCTGCTGTCCCCCTTGTTTTCTGTGTCAGTGACTGTCAGTCTTTTATGTCTTATATACCTCTTCTCAGAAGAACTCTAATATAAGATTACACAGGAAACAGTCATATAGATTTTTGTGTGTGTGGTAAAAGGATCAAACCCAGGGTCTTTGTAGTGAGCTACATCTCCAATCCTTAATTTTGAGGCTGGGTCTTTCTAGGTCACTAATTTGCCCAGGCTGGATTCAAACTTGCAGTCTTCAGCCTCGCAGAGTCCTGGAATTACAGGTATGTACCACCATGCCAGCTCTTTGTGTGATTTTTAAGTATTTAAAAAACAAATTTTTTTTAAAAATGTGTTCATTTTTATTAAAATATTAAGTAAACAGATCTATTATTGGGTCTAATAACTACTGTTATTAGAAGTACTGGTAAATAAGGGGCTGGGGATTTAGCTCAGCGGCATAAGCGCCTGCCTCAAAAGCAGGCAGTCGTGAGTTCGATCCCTGGTACCGGTAAAAACGAAAAAGCCAAAAAAAAAAAAAAAAAGAAGTACTGGTAAATAAAAAAATGATATTTTGTCAAGTAACATGATAGAAAATTATGTGTGATTTCTACTGCTTCAAGTTCACAGGTTCTCTTGTACTACCTTCCTTCATAATTGAAGGACGTCATGACTTGCAGTCTGAGGTTAGTGAAAATAAAGATACAATTTTACCCATTCAAGTTCAGCCAATTTGAATGCGTCTCAGGTACCCACAGGCCCCCAAGAAAGAACCCCTGTGCTGGACGGAGGCTCTTCATGATCATGGTAGTGAAGGAGAAGGAGAATCTGAGGTCCCAAAAGGAGGTCAGGCCAAGGACAGCCGGCATGGGAGGTGAGCTAAGAACCAGGGTAGGCTCTGGCTTCCGACTTCCCAAATTACTCACTGACGGTATTGATCTCCAGGGCTCCAAATATCAGAAAGTCTGCCTTTTGCTTCCGCAGTTCATTCTTGAGCATTGCTGCCACCTCATAGCCCTTGAAGATCTGGTGGGGAGGCTCATTTTGAACATAAAATACCATCTTGGTGCTGCAAAGACATGCGACAACATGAATGAGCAAAAGTGAGCCCCAACAGTAGCAGCTTCCACTGTTTACTAAGCCCCTTCCATCTGTGCTGTGCATTCCCTCGCAGCAGGCCAGTGAGAAAGGTGTTATCAGCGTTGTCTTACAGAAGATGACACTGGGCTCAGATGGGTTGAGTGCTTGCCCAAGGTCACACAGTTAATTACGGCAGAGCCAGATCCCCACCCTGCTACATCTGACTCCAAAGCCTAAACTGTAACAGAATGCCCTCAGATGCCCAACTAAGGGAGGATCAGAAGATGGAGACTTGGTTATGGCTCCATCCTGTGCTCAGCCTTTTCATAACCAAGATGGGGATGCTGCTCAGTTACTTATAAAACAAATAACAGTGCTTTGTAAAATATAAATTGTTGCAAAGCATTGAGATTATCTAGAGGCCAAAATGTAGTCAAAATGACTATTACAGTGACAGCAAAAAAGAGGATCCAATACAGTAGTGTGACTGGTTTTAAAATCATATTATTCCATGTCAAGAATCTCCTTGCTTTTTGTTTGTCATTTTCTCCAAGACAGACCTTGCCTGAACTTACATTCTGGGTGGCATAAAACCCACTCTCCAGGCCTTGCCCTTTATTTCTGATTGTCTGGGCTTCATGTTCATCTTATAAATTGAACTTTCCCAGTCAGTGGCTCATATGTGGTTTATAGATATGCTCAAGATACTGACCCTCTCTCAGTATACAGGGTGGCTGGGGATACTTAGCCTTGGTCTAACAGCTTTCAGTACACGTTACCTTGTCTTTTTATCCCTAACTGCAATGTAAACACTACCATTTTCTTTCTTTTTTTTTTTTAAATTGGTACTGGGAATCGAACTCATGACCATACGCTTGCAAAGCAGGGGCTTATGCCGCTAAGCTAAATCCCCAGCCAACTATTTTCTATATATAGCATGATGTAAAGATTTAGGAAGCACTGCCCTCAACTAAATACTTGCTTTATAGTAAGTTAACGGTTTGGCCTTACATGTTCCAGAATCAAAAAATAAATCTTTACTATAAAAGATGTGTGTCCCATTTCCCATTCTTTTCTCTCAGTTACCGAACCCATGGTTATAGTTTCAATTTCTATCTCTATACCAATAATGCTCAAACCTTAATCTCTTCTCCCCATAGAACCAACACTGACCTATCTGCACCTGAAAATATTTCCATGAATAATGACCTCAGATCTTTCCCAGCTGCCTCAAGTACAACATATCTCAATAAATTTATGATGTAAATAAATAAAAGTGAAATCAAGGAGAGATGGCAGGAAACAAAAAGGCAAATTTTTTGAAGGGAAAAAAACATGAGGATAAGTGGGGAGGGCAGGGAATGAGGAGTAAAGGGACCAAAATTAGGCAAGATATATATGTATGCCAATCCCCCAAAATGAATGACATTTATGATTTGCAAATATGCACTTACAAAAACATCTGTGGTGATAATCACTTGTGGTGATAAGCCCTATGTGTTAGAGACTTATATAAACATTATCTTACTAATCCTCAGTATTCCTATAAAACATAATAGAATATTCACCAGGTGAACACCAGGTTGTGATAAGCAGTTTATGCGCTTTACAGAGCTCACATGGAGGGGGGCGGGGGCTTGGGGGCCAGGCCTGTGCTTTCCCCCGCTAGCACATGTCCTCAACTAAGGCAAACCAGGCCAAGCCAGAAACCCAGAGAAGTCCAGGTACCTTTCACTCCCGCATGCCCACAGGCAGTGTGGCACATCTGAGCAAACTCCAAACCACACTCTCACCAGTGCTTGCACCAACCTCTTCCCACTGCTTCTGCCCAGCCGGTTCCCATCAGCCCGGAGCACTGCCAGCAACCATCTTCCCTGCTGTTACTCCCAGATCACAGAGCCTACCCCAAAATCGATCAATGAACCAATAATCAGTCAGTCAAAGGGAAGAGTCTTAACCACATTGTCTCTGCCCAACTGCATATCATCCCTGTGGAGCTCTTAAATTTTAGACGCCCAGGCCCCAGACCAACTGCATCATCATCCTGGGGATGAAGGCTGGAGTGGGTGTGTGCACAGCTGCAGTGAGAGTGAAGCCACGGTGCTCCTGCTTGTTCCCCTCTATCCTGGACTCAGACTCCAGGGTCACTCCAGAGCAGAGTCCTCCCGGGAGCTCCCTCCCACCTTCAGCACTTCACCACTTTCTACCTGCTCCACCTCACTCCATCCCGAGGCAAGGGCCTTGCCCCCACACTTGCCGCCAATGACACAGGGCTTTGGCACCTCCGCCAGGGCACAGCCCCCTCTTCCTAGCTCCAGAGCCCCTCAGCCCTCAGTCCAGCCTCCACTAATTCCCACCTCCACCACCTCCTTTTCCTCAACACTGTTCCCTCATTTGGTAAAAAAGGCTAGAGTTATTTCCTGTTTTTAAAAGGTGCATTTCCATCCGATCCCCCACAGTACTACAGTACCAGCTTCTGCAGAGCTCTGATGTGTACCATCTCAGCATCCTGTCCTCTGCTCTGTCACTGACACTCAGCAGAGCACACCCCTCACGTCTGCTCTGCGTCTCCCTGTGGCCGGCCCCGCAGCATCGGAAGCCTCTGGCAGCACAACTAAGGGACTGCGCCTCAGCTGCCAGCAGCCTCTCCAGATGGCCTTCCCCCGCCTCGCTGACTGCTCTCCCTGCTTTCTTTTGCTATGTATTTTTTCTTTCTCGTATCTTCTTTACATACTAGTGTCCTCCAGAGTTCTGTCCTTAATTCTCTTGTCAGTGCCACTTGTCTCTCTTCATGGCTTTGACTCTTGCTTAACTGATGACTCCTGATCTCTGCCTCTTCCTTCCATCCCAAGTTCCTGTCTGTACCTGCCACCATCCATGGACCATCCCCCCTAAATAGTCAGAATGAGTTCTTTCTTCCCCCCAGCTTCAGTTAGCCACTTGATTCTCTCAGCCCCATTCAGAGCCCCAAACCAAATGCCTCCTGCAGGATGCCTCAATCCCATTCCCTCCCACAAGGACACCAAAATCTGTTGGTTTGCCTCTAAATTTTTTTTTATGTTCCCTACTTCTGCCACTGCCTTAACTCAGGGTTTGCCACCACTGTACTACTAGGCCAGAAGCTCCCTGATCAGTCTCCTAGACTTCTATCTCTCCTTATTTTAATTGAACCCCCACATCATTGGTCTCCCTGAACAAAATCGGAATCTAACTATGGACTGTCCTTGCTTTAAAAACAAAGAATCAAAATTTTAGACACTAAAACTAACTTGAGTCCTCTGTCCAAACTACCACAGCTAGACCCCTTACCTTGCATGCAGTTACTCGCTGTTTCTGAAGGTGGCCTTGCTTTTGACCACAGTTTGGGGCCTACTCAGCTCTAGGTCAACTGTTCTCTTCCAGAAGAATCCCTGCACTTGCCATCACAGAGCCATTGCTCACGCTGCTCCTCTCTTGAATTTCCTCCTAGTTCAATGTGGGTCAAGCAAGTTTCACTCATGGAAAATCTCTGGGCTGCCTCCTACCCAGCTCTGGAAGGATAGACTGCCCTTGCCTCAACTGCCAAGTGACAAATCTGCCTATCTTATTGACAAGGGTGCCATGTAAAAGCAATGGACCTCCTCTAACCTGGTACTTGCATACCTGGTTGAGTGTCAAATACAAAGGAGTGACCTGCACTATAAAAGCAAGTTCAGGAATGAGATGGACACCAAGACTGGTCAGAAAGCCCACCCTTCTCCATCTACCCACTAGATTTCAGCTCAGTTGAGAAGCCCAGGGGCCCCTGGTCTGTCCTCCCCCGCCCCCACGTGTTGCCCAGCTACCTCTGCTCCGTGTACGGCTGAATCTTTTGCACAATGATGTCGGAATCCAGCACCCCCAGGAGGACCCCAATCTGGCGGATGAACATCCCCTTCAGCCTCTCAGTGAGCTGACTGACGCTGACATCCAAGATGATCTCCACCAGGTTGTTTTTCATGGGATCTGGAAAGCACGTGCATCAGTAACGGCTTTAGAAGCGGGTGTGTTAACACAGACCTGCCACGGTGCATTTGCTTTGGCACAGGAGGGAAAGGAGGCAGCACTGAGACCTCCTTGAAGTGGGGACAACGGTGGATTCTTGATAAGGCAAGACTGGTTTAGAGAGCTTTGGACTGACCTGAGAAGCGCCACATGTGTCCTGGGGACAAGACTGAGGGGCTTGGAGAAGGGACAGGGAAAAGCATGCACTGCAGCCTTCATCGAAAAAGCCTCTGCCGGGGGACGCTGCTGAGCTCTCCAGGGAAAGTGGGGGAGCCGGGTCTCCTGAATCCCACCTGATTCTCACTGACCTGCTGTGCTCTATCTAGGACAGTGGGAGGGGAAATGCTTTCTCACCATTTTACCAGTAACGCGAATGCAGTCATCCCTGGGAGTTTCAATACAGTCAACACAATGAGCATCAAGGTGGCCAAGAAACGAAGGTTTCCTTAGAGCAACTTCACAGCTACACTGTCTTTTCACAGCTCTCATGGGAGACCATCATGCTTTACTTCTGAATATATCCTAAAGATTGTTCCCCATGTGAAAGTCGAATCTCTGACCCACACAGCTGGATGCACCCCTGATGCATGATTTACATCACTCACGGTCTAGCTGGAATCTGATTTCAGACAGAAAAGAGACTCTGGTGTCTCAGCTCCTGTCCTTCCTAGAAGCAGGACAAGGACTGGAAGACCTTCCATGCTCAGCCAGGTAATAGTCGGTTGACTTAAAGTTAATACCTGTTCCTCAGAAGCTCAGAGATTTATAAAGTTCCTTTCCACCTTCACTCTCAGTTCTTTCTTAGCAACAAATTAGCCTCAAAGTAAAACAAAACGTTATTCAACCTAGAAAGGAAGTTTTATTTCTGAAAATCTGAGAAACATACAAGACACCAGTTACTTTACCTTCCCTGGTTTATCAGATAAAGCCTAGAGCTCAACTTATAAACTGTTCTCTGCATCTGGGCACTGATGAGATATCATGGCTCAAGCTATTCCTGGGCTCAGATTCCCAGTGCACTTGAGCCCTCTCTCCTCAGTCATGTGTGGAGGAAGAAGGGCTCCACGGGGGACACAAGGCCTGGTTCTGACACAACTGCTGTGTGACAATGAGCAAGCCCTGCCCTCTCTGAGTTTCGGTTTTCCATCTGAGATGAGCAGGGGGAGGGCCACCTCCTTGGGTGGTCTGAGGGTGCTGTTGGCCCGCAGTCTCACATGGGGTTGCTAGGTTTCTTTTTAAAGCTAGACTTGCATCCAGTGTGATCTGTGCTACAGGGATGCCCTCGGAATAAAGGTCTTGATGGCCTAGCCTGCGAATCCACACAGTCTTATTAAGTAAACTCACCAGGTTTCACCTCCACTGTGGCCCGGTCTATGTCACTCTCGCCCTTTGCATCAGTCACTTTCAGGTGAAATGTGTAGGTTCCCTCGACCAAGTTGGAAAGGAAGAGGATGGGGTGGTGGTCAGAGTGATTTAACACCTCCTGTAGGGTTGAGAAAACAGGGCCACATGGCAAAACAAAACACCACACCATTCCTGGAGCCGGCTGCGGCTTCCGCGGTAACTAGGTGCGGTCCAGGGTGCACCTTTTCAACACTTCTAGTAGCCCACAGCTACTAGGATGAGAGGTCAGAAACCTATTCTGTGCCCTCCTTTCCCCTCCCCTCACCCAGCCTGCAAATTAGACCCTGTGCATCTCTCCAGCTCCCAGAACACTCACCCCTGCTGCCGGGCTCCCTTCGTCTCGAGTCCAAACGTAGTTGATTATTCCCTTGTCATCTGAGGACTTGGAACCATCCAGTTCTGCTGTGTTTGTGGGCAAGATAATCACCACATTTCCAGTTATCTTGGCTACAGGTGGTTTGTTCATTTCTAACCAGAGAAAAATTAATGAGACAATGTGACATTTTGGAAAGGCAGGAACACTGCCTCATGCGCGCAGCAAACACTGAGATTATTGTAAAGGGAAAGCTGCTCTAGAGCCAGGCCAGTCCAGCAACCAAATGGGCAGCTTTAAAGCCACCAGAAGTATAACCCTGAGGCCACAGTCCACCCTCAGACATGTTTTCCTGACGCTGGACAGCAGAGAGGAGAAGCAGGCTTTCCCCCCATGTCTCAGCAGCACCTCCCCAGAGGAAGCCAGTTCTTTGCTTTGGATGACTGGAAATAAAGGCCTTAAGAGATTTACAGCCTAGGGCCAGGGATTTGCGTTTGCCTGTTAAATGTGAGGTTATGAGTTCAATCCCCAGTACCAAAAAAAAAAAAAGAGAGACTTAGAGCCTAGAGGTTTGGTTTCCCCCAGCTATCATCACGAGTTCTTCTTTAAAATGTTACTCTCTGAATATTTCTGCCATTCCTCCCTTTATACTTTCAAGAGAAATGGGGGAAATGCCTCTCAGATCCTGGGTTTTATTTTCTGGGTGTAATTCAGTATTGATTCAGCACAGGAGGCCTTAGCAGGACGTCAGCTGCACATCTCCTGATTTTTGCCCTATCAGCTTGGGGCCTCTCCCCAGGCCCTCACTGCTCACTGTGTCTACAGCCCATCAACTCCTGGCCTCAGGTCAGCCTCATAGGCAGGCTCACAGGAGAGCCCAGAAAACTGCAGTGCAGCAAAGTCATTCTGGGGCCTGACAGCAGGTGTCACTGTAGCTAGCGGGCGAGTCACAGAAACCCTAAGTTTTCAGAGCAAAGGCAAAATCAAGATACAAAGGAAAAAATCCTTAATTTTTTCAGTTAAGATGGAGGGAAGGAAGAAGGGAAGAGAGGTAGGAAAAGAGGCCAGGAGGGAGAGAAAAGGGAGAAAGGAAAGAAAAAAGGAAGCAAGCGGGGCTGGAGGGCAGGCACAGGAGGGAGAGAGAGGGAAGTTAAAATTCACCTACAGTCACTTAATTAGAGGTGGTTTTAGAAAAGCAAATAACAGCTGTTCTTTTGTGTGTGGGTGTGTGTGTGTCTTTTTTTCATTTTTATCAGTACTGGGGATCAAACTCACGACCACCTGTTTGCAAGGCAGGCACTTATGCCGCTGAGCTAAATCCCCAGCCCCATAGCCCCGTAACAGCTGTTCTTACCCCAACCTTCCTCCCCACCTCTGGCCTCTCATCAACCTCTGCAGCCAAAGAGAAGGGGCCTATTCCTCAGCTTTCTCACTGACAGGGCTGCAGTACAAGCCCAAGCAGGGAGGTACCTTCTTTGACAATGACATTCACAGAGCTCTGGCTTTGCAGATTCCTCTCATCTTTGACAGTCAAGGTGAACACGTAGGTCCCAACTTGCAGCCCAGTCACAGTGGCAACACTGCTGTTAGCATTCTCTAGTTGCACGCCGTCAGGGCCCCTGGACAAAGAGAGGGTGAGGACGTACCTGTCTCTGCTCTCTTGTCTCTGGGACAACAGGAAAGGACAATTATTGCCTCAGCGAAATTATGAACAATTGGCCCCCAGACCTTGACAGGACATGTTTAAAAATATTTCCTTTGGACAAAGTGCCATTTGGCCCCAAAATATAGGCTTCCTTCTGATCAGAAAATTCCACTCATCAGCTTTCAAACACTTCTAGGCCTTTTCTTTATATGAATTTCTAGAACATGCAAACCCTTATTCCAGTTCGTAAAAGAATAAAGTTCTCTGAGCAGGCTGTGATCCAAAGAGTGATTTCAAGGTGATGTTTCTGAAAAGCATTTCTGGCCCACTAGATGGTTCAGCTCTTGCCAGCAAAGATGCAAAATGTGTTTCTTAATCACATGCCCAAATCCCTCCTGACAAAAAGTCAAGGAAAAGAAATGGGGCAAGGCGGCACAGGGACTCTCAGGACAAAGCCATCATCCCTGCGGCTGTCCCAGCAAAGCTCCCTCCAGCTCCTGCAAGAGTCAGGGGCAGAGCAGCACACTGCATCCTGCCTGCACCCAGCAAGCCGCTCCAGCAGGAAACCGGCTCAGTGCTGACAACCAGGACCAGGGCATCCTGCTTGCCCACACTACTACCAACTAAGGACAGTCTGAGACTCCCCGCAGATCCCACCCAGAGTCTGCTCTATTCTGTCCTGCATTTTAAACTTATCATTTCTGACTTTGGCATCCTCTTCTGAAACATATTCGCATCCAAGAAGCTTTGCTAAGCATTATCTCTTTATCAACACTAAGAAAACGGAGCTCAAACACTTTTAGCAAGACAGTGCTCAGTAAACGGTTATAAGGAAAACCCAGGGGGCTGAGGAAGATCAAGTTCTCCAAAAGATAGAACCAAGAGCAGAGGGAATTTTTGTAGCATTCAACTCAGCAATCATAAACTGTTTTTACAGTAAAATTAACATCCTTTCCCACCTCTGATGTCCTACTTTAAAAAAAAAAAAAAAGTGTGTGTGTGTGTGTGTGTGTGTGTGTGTGTGTTTACGTATCTGAAAAGCCCAAAATCTAGTCTGTCCTATTCAATTTCCATAGGAAACTGAGAAGCTTTTAACTCTTCATTGGCATTTGTGTGCTCCCCGAGGGATCCTATGTATAACGTGAGTTCTATTTGTTATCCTTTAAGCAGGAACTAAAAGCAACTGTGAAAACCAAGAGTGGTTTGATTAGGTAATTTCAGTTAATTAGCGCTATTCTGGCTATGGCTTTTAACCTCTAGCTAACTTAATTGGTAAATCGTATCTTCCAGGAAACAATAATAAGTAATGCTTTCATTTTATAAATGAAATTTCAATTCCTCTCAGTAACTGCTTGCCCCACCCCCCCATGGGCCTTACCCAGTGAATTCTCAGCACCAGTATTTTTCTGCTCCATTGCCTCAGAGCCTACCTCTCCAGTGTAATTAAACTCTGTATTTCAGCAGATGGATAAAATCTGCAAAAGCAGTACTACTTGGGGTCTGATGGTAAGCATTACTTTTTCTTAAAAAAAATTATTGATAATATCATTTTCTTAAATTAAAGCTTGTGATTGTAAACATTTCTTTATCAACCGTCCTCCTGGATAAGCCAGTAAGAACAAGTCAACTCTTAAAAGAAAATAAACTCTTGCTATCCCAGGGCCTAGCAGTGATCGTAAACCTATGGCACACGTGCTACAGCAGGCTGTTTGCATCACTGAAAGCTCTCAAAGGTTCACCATCACCAGCCTAGAGCCTTGCAAAGATTAGGTTTCATGTCAGCAATACTCACTGTGTCTTTTCCCAGAGATAGGAGGCAATTCTTTGATCATCTGAGCTCTTGCTGCCGTCCAGTGTGGTGCTGTCCACAGGCAGGGTCAGCTCCTTATCTGGGCCTGCATCTGCCTGGGGAGGCTTGTTGTTTTCTATAGAGAGACACAGAGGTCAGTGGCAGCCTGTTCAGTGAAAATGGAGAGGACACAAAGGGGCATCTGTTCTGGCAGCCATGGGAACTCGGCCTCTGAACCGCAGAGCTGTGGGATGTGTGGGAGACGTGGATACTAGTCCACACTGAGCTACATCACCAGACCTTTTTAATTATTTAAAGTTCTGAGAAAGGTTCTCCCTAAGACACTAAGTTGCCCAGGCTAGGCTTGAACTTGTGATCTTCCTGCCTCAGCTTTCCCAAGTGCTGAGATTAGAGACATGTGCCACCACATCCAGCTCTATATCCAACAATTCTGAGAGAAACATAACACAGTGACATTACAATGTCATGCTAAATCTTAAATCTAATTCCACAGGGCTTGGGTGAAAAAGATAGAACTTTCCTAAGAAAGTGGATTTTAAACTAGCCCTAAAAAAATATGGTAAATTTTGGGATGGCATAGGTTCCATCTCCTAGGCTGGTAATTGGCCAAGGAAAGGGCACAAGTGGAGGCTTGGAAGTACTACTTTTTTTTGGTACTGGGGATCAAACTCACGACCATATGCCTGCAAAGCAGGTGCTTATGCCACTGAGCTAAATCCCCAGCCCTGGAAGTACTCTGAATCTCTAGCTATGGAGAAAACATAAGTGAAATAAACAAAAGAAGTTGTTCTCAGAGGCTCTGAGGCTTGGAGCCTTCTGTTTGTACTCTGGTACTACCTAGAACCCAAGCCCTCCTATCCCCAAAGTTAAAGGGACAAGCCATTAGAAGAGACTGAACCCCAAGGACAGAACTTACCAGGCTGCACAATAACAGTCACTTGAGCAGTGGCCTGCTGTCCTATCGTGTCAGTCACAGTGAGTTCATAAGTATAGTCTCCTTCTTGCATGGCAGAGAGCTGTAGGGTTGGTGTTCGCACACCCTACATACAGAAAGTTACAGGTGGGAAAGTGGACTTGAAGAATCCCAATGTCCCTCAGAAATTCCTACACTGGTAGAAATTATTTATCAGTTTGCTAAACCTAAGTTAGTGCTGGGCTATTACTTTCCCATTCAGCATAACTAATGACTATTGAATCAGACATCATGAGACATTTTGATAACAGGAACCCATTCAGATCCTGCCACAGCAGAGAAATCTTAACACAGTACATGAACTGAGTCAGGTATATTAAGTCATGCCTCACATCTAGAAACAGAGAATCCTGGGTATCAGAAGGAACATTATAAATAATTTAGGGCAAATTTCCAATGCAGGAACTTCCTTAGAACATTAGGCAAAAACTGGGAGCATGTGGGCTGAATTCAGCCTACAGACACTTTGTTTGACCGGTAGCAACTAAAAATTTGGAAATTTCGCATAGAGTTCCCAATTTCTGTCTGCTTTTGAAAAGCTGGACTAATAGGCAATACTGAGACCAGTCTGCCATGTGTCAATATCCAGCTGGAACCAAAGAGCAGAGGATCCCTCCACTCAGGGCTTTAACTTCCTGGCTCACCATAGTCCCCATCCAGTTTCTTTTATTTATATATGTGACCTGCCTCATGACAGATCTAGTTTTTTGTTAAATATCTCCAGAGAGAAGATAATCTACTCCAACTGCTAACAGGACTCACGAAGATCAGTACCCTTGCAGCTTGTAAATAATTTGACTCTCTATAATCACCAAGAATGACTATATTTCTCATCCAGCTTTTTCTTCTAATAGTGAAGGTTTGAAATAAAGATTGTTGCTTGAGCAAGGCATAGTGGCACACAGGTGCAGTCCCAGTTACTCGGAAGGCTGAGGCAGGAGGATTGCAAGTTCAAGCCCAATGTTGGCAATTTAATGAGACCTTGTCTCAAAGTAAGAAAAAGAGGGGAAAAAAATGGGGATGAGGTGGGAATGTAGTTCAGTATTAGAATGTCCTTGGTCCCCCAGAAGGGATTGTGGCTAACCCATTAATCAAAAGCTCAAGGTCCCTAAAACTTTCTGGATTTGTTTTTTGGATTTTTTAAAAATCTAAATGCACAGATCTGACTTTAGTACTTAAAATGAAAAAGAGCCCCTGAATGGGTGACCCAATCCAGAAGCAAAATAAACAAAAGACAGGAAGTGCTCCCCCTACCTGCATCTCCACCACTTTTCCTTTGCTGTTTGGGCTGAGGGACCACTCGTAGCTGCTGATGCCATGATCATCAGTGCTCTGGTTCCCAAAGAGGGTGATGGAGTTTTGAGGCAGGGTGATCACTTGGTTGGGGCCTGCGTTGGCCACAGGGGGGTAGTCCACAGCTTTGTTCACAGTCAGGTTTGCAGTGGTGGAGTTGGTAGCTCCATCAGAGTCTACTACAGTCAAGCTATCAGGGCAGAGAGAGCAGAGCAATAATCATGCTTCAGAGAAGAGGAATAAAACTAGAGGACTGAAAATCAAGACTAGAGAAACACCAGGGTAACAGGATTATCTATTCTTATTCATTCCTTTTAGAAAAGCAGAGAGTAACACCACAAGACAACACTGACTGAAGGTTCACTATGTGTGAGACACCGTTCCAAGTGCTTTGTAGCTCACTGAACCCACAGAAAAGCTCTGTGAAGTAGTTATCGTCATCTTACTCCTTACAATATGAGGAAACTGAGGCAAAGAGATAGGGTAACTTGCCCAACATCACACAGCTTGACAGTAGTACACTCAGGATCTGAATGCAGGCAACATATCCCCAGCACCAGCTTGCTCGGCTGCCATGTGCACCTGTATGCTGAGACCTTGTAAGTGCCAAGTGATATACTTTTCACAATCATGGTGAATATATCCATCAGTCTCTGTGGAAGGCTGTCTAAGTCATCTGCCCAGCATGACACCGAGAGTCAAGATGCAAGCCCGATCTCAAGAACAGATAATCCCTGGCCCCTGGTTCCCTGGAGTTACAAGGAGCCGTGCTACACAGAACTCTCTGTCTGCAGCAGGTGGCCCCCACGGTGCCGTTTCAGCAGTCTGCATAACACAAGGATGGGTGTCCTGGGCACACAGCCCCTGGGATGGACCGGGAGGGCTGGCTCCGGTAAGGCAAGAGCTTGAGATAGAAATGAATTCTCCTACGCAACAGGCCCACAGTTTGTGCCAGTGAGAAACAGGATTTAAAAGAGAAAAAAATGTTCTTTCATAAGAGCAGGCTTTTACCTAAATGATGCCTTCCAGCTGAACAGCCTAAAGCTTCTCATGCCACCTCAGAATGTGAACATAAGCAAGCAAGGAGGTTTGGGATGATTCCATTTTGCTGACAGGAAAGGCATAGAAAAGACATGCAGTTTGTTTAAATTTCACCACCAGCCTCAGACAGCCCGACATCCGTGGGGTTTTATGTAGCCTGAAAATTCCCCTTTCACCTGTGGTCTGAAGGGGAAATTTATTATTATGGCCTTTAGAGAAAAAGCACAAAACCCTGAGACACCCATACATGTACAAACTACAAGTACTGGAAAAAGAACATCACAGGTGTTCGGCCTCATTCCCAGTTTCCCTATTGTTTCCCAGGTGTGTTGTTAATGTTGTTGTTGTTGTTGTTAACATAACCCACTTGTCTCATGAGTCAATACAGAAGTGAGTCAATAGATGGAAAAATGGTCTCTTTCCATTGCTCTTTCATCCTGAAGATCCCCTCACTTGCCTTCAGGGATCCTGAAGCCAAACAGCAGCTGCCTACAGGGCTAGGGGAAAAAGCTACTGCCACAAAAGGCAGAAAGGAGACCGTATGTGATCTACAGCCAGATTAGACCTCACGACAAATTCAATCCAATCTAATCATGTCACAGATAAAAATTTTTTAAAAGGAGAACTAAGAAAAAAGCATTGATCCAGTACAGTATTGACCCCCCCCCCAAACTGCAGGCTTACACTGTGGGAAGGCGGTGGTAGTGTTGGGTTTTGTTTCTGTCGCTTGCTTGCTTCAGTACAGGTGCTGCCGAAGCGAGCACTACTTGCTGATTTTGAGACGAGGCCTCACTACAGAGTTCAGGCAGCCTTGAACTCACTGGATAGCCTCTGCTGGCAACGATCCTCCTGCCTCCAGAGAGCTGGGATTACAGGCAAATGACACTATGCCCAACTCATTATGTTTAAAAGTTCAGACTCTGAAGTCAGACTGTTATGGAGCAAACTATTTAACCACGTAGTGCCAAAATTTCCTAATCTGTAAAATAATAGTAACCAGAGAAGGATTATATGTGATGCCACAAGCAAAGAGCTCAGAGTAGTACTTAGCATATAGTAAATATCCAATAAATACCAGCTATAATTCTCATGATTTTTAAAAAAAGGATCAACCCAGCCTAGGATAAATTCTGTAAGTGGAAACTTTCCTCTGTTAGATATCTAAGGGAAAAAAATCAACTCAAGTTTTCATTTTAAGCCAGTGAGAAGGCTCCAAAGGCTTATTTGATGGGAAGTTATCTTCATTCACACGAGGCCTCGAGCTAATGAGAGCGCTGCTAGGTCAGAACTTGCATACTGATGTGCATGGTAAGGTTTGTGCTAAGATGCTTGCTTCCTGTGTCCCCAGTGTCTAAAGCTTGCTAAGTCTCAGCCCCAGAGGAAGACAGACACCCAGGAATTAGCATCACCTTGCAGGAGGCATCAGGGAAGCATGGAGCACAGCAGGGAAAGAGGAAAGTCATTGTTTCTCCTCTCTGGAGAGATCTCGTAGGGGTTCATGGAAAATCAAGTACACCTTTAAGGATGGTAGAACTTTAACAGATTGAGAAGGGCATTCAAGGAAACATAAACAAAATCTATGTGCATTAAGTCAGCAAGTGAAGTGGAATGAACCCTGACTCAAAGGTTAGGAAATCTGCTTTAACTTCTGGGGAATCACAGCCAAGTCACTAAAAACAAGCAGCTTCATTTTTCTCAGCTATGGAATGAGGACAGTATTATCCACCTATACTCATGTATAAGAGCTTTTAACAAAAGGAATCATGTAAATATATGGAGAATTACACTAGAATTAGCTTTAAAGGCTTATGAAACTCATTCTAAAATGTCAATATTAGTTTCCCACAGGACTTTCTTTAATCAAGTTCTCCAAAAACTCCCACTAAAGAAAGATCCTACAAAACATATTCAAGTAAACCACTACTCAAAAGTACAGAGTTTTGATGCATGATAAGGGAAAGAAGCACTTCTCAAAGGGAAGAGACAAGATGAGAGAAAGTTTCTTCTGAATTCTGTCTGAGAAAATGCAAAGATGGGCCCTTTCCCCTAATACTGAGATCCGAGAGGATGTTTGGTGATCTCTCAAGTAAGACTTTGAGATGTACTAACTGTGGTAGGCCTTGATCTACTAAACAAGTACTGTGTACTAAAAATCTACCATTGTTGTGATCAGAAGACCCATATGACTTGGGGAACCAGTGGAACAAAGACTGCATTGCTAAGCGACACCCCAATAAACTGGTATTTGTCAGAGTCACATCTTCAAGCAGATAAAACCCATGTGCAGGGCACACTATGGTCAGCTGGAAGCTGAATTCTAATTTACCTGAAAGTGTAGTTCCCAGGGACGAGCTTGCTTAGTTTTAATATGGCTGTATCTTCAGAAATCTTCTCTTCTCTCAGAGGTCCTTTAAGTTCCTCCCAATGGTACTGGACAATTTTATCATCATCAGTACTTTCTGAACCACAAACATCAGTTACAACATGAGAATGCTGGGTCCCAACACTTATCCAATTTATTTCACAAACCAAAGCAACTACCCAGAGAGACAAAGCCAGGAAGACTTCAGGAAATTACAAGACTCTCTCTGTAGAATGTTTCTCCCCTGAAAGTACTAAGACATCTGCCTGTCTATGAATATTTCACTGTGTAGTTTTCCAAGGACTCCACCATATGCAACCTCCGATTAAAATGCTACTGTATAAAAAAAGAAAATCAATTAATTCTTAAACACATGAAAATATACCCAATCTCACAAAAAGAAATACAAATTAAAATTATCCTTGCAACACCATTTTTAAATCTATCAAATCAAAACCAAGCATATAATGAAACTATACACCCAGATAACGTAATGCTTTATAATTATTACAGGGCAGGCTAAGCATTTCATGTTTCAGAAAAATTCTCTAAAATAGAAAAAGGTATAATACATAAAAATGCATGTAATATATTGTCATAAGTGTAACAAGGGGACAAATACTATACATGTGTTTACTGCATACACATAACATATCTCCGGAAGGACATATAAAATAATAACATCATTGGCTGTCTGGAAGAAACAGCTGGAAGTCAGGGACGGCATGATTCTTTTCCCTGTACATCTTTATATGTTATTTAACATCAACCTATTCCACACTGTAAAATAACGCAGTGCTATGTGAACCCTTCCTCCATTTCCTATGACTAGCGTTCCTTCCTGTTCCCTCTTTCATGCTAGCCTGCTGTTCTCCTACTCCTCTTACAAGAACCTTCAACAGAAATGTCTAACCTTGCTAGAGAGTTCTCTGCCAAAGCCGCAACTGCCTTTGATGAAAACTACTGTCAGTGCCAAGACAGTCAGAATAATGGGGCCTTAATGGATCTCAAGAACAAAACAAAACAAAGCAAAACAAATACTGGTAAGAGGACAGAGCTGAAGCCTCTTGCACACACACAGCCAGGACTGAGAACAAAGATTCAGAAACCCTCTCCCACCACTCCTCAGGTGACACTGCTCTGAAGAGTGGACTGTTAGCAGCCCAGGCAGGATGCGGAGTGCCAGCGTACCACTGAGTTTCTCCAGCAGGTGGCTGACAACAACCTTGCTAGGTGGTGAGGACTGAGTGAGAGCTTCTAGGCCAGGCCTCTTAGTTGCTTTTTTTTATTATTATTATTTTTTTTTATCGGTACCAGGGATCGAACTCATGACCACACACTTGCAAGACAGGCGCTTATGCCACTAAGCGAAATCCCCAGCCCTTCTTAGTTGTTAATCTTGTCATGATAGCAAAGAACTTGGTTACTACAACCATGAAAAGAAACTCCAAGAAAATCTGAAAATTAGCCAGTTTCAACTAACACTATTCTAAATATATGCGGAATCCCACCTTCTTATCATTTTAGAGTAGAAATATTGCTTCAAACAAACCACATAGGATTTTTAAAAAGGGCCTGTTGAACTGGTTACTTCCTAAACAGTTGCTTTAAACTGCCTTCCCATAACATAGTCAAAAAGATCGGCCTAGGCAGAATGCAGACATGACCAGCCCTAAATCTTCTACCTGAGTTTCCATGAGAATACACAGTAAATGCTTGTGTAATATCACACGTAGGCAATACTCACGGCTGCCATCAATGACTGTAGAAGTAGTTGGCAGAGAGATCTCCTGGAACTGAGGTGACACAACAGCAACAGGAGGCTGATTCTTACGGGGCTCTACAAGAAAATAACCCAGAAGAATTTGGTGAGAAGCTTTACAGGTTATAGGAGGGGCAGGCTGAATCTAAGTAGACTGCAAATCATTTTCCGTTATATAACTGATATTTGAAGCATCACTAGATGGGAAAGTCACAAGACCTGGCTGCCATTTCTAACATAAGACACCTGGGATATACAGGCCTCTTCCTGTCCTCACTCTCCCTAAGACCGCATCCCGTGTATTCTTTTAATGCTCATGTGAATACCTCATGAATAATTCTACAGCAGCCAGTGATTGCTTCCAAGCCAGCCTGCCTGGGGATGGATAACAAAAAGCCTTGTGCAATAAAAACCTTGGCAAGCAAACTATCCTTTGGTGCAGACTCTGCTGAAAAGATAACGAGTCATTGTTCAACCATCCCTGAGTTGAGTGTGTGTGAGGGGACTGCAGATGAGGGAAGGGAAGGTCACAAACCGCTCTGGTCCACCTGATGACTGTGAGCTACAGCCGTAGTGGTCCTTCTTTTAGAAATGACCACATTATTTGGTCAGCTTGATGCTGATTTTCTTGGTCCAAGGGAACTCAGGACTTCATTCATGCTAAGCAAGTGTTCTGACCCTGAGATGCATCCTCACCCCGGTGGTCATACTTTTAAGATAAGATTATTTTGGCTATACAGCTCAAGGGATGAAAAGAAAATCTATTACTAACAAAGACAGAAAACAGTAACTGTCTGAGCCAGTTCATGTGCCACTCTCCAACTTCTTCCAAATTTCCCTGAAAACACAAAACAAGACACCTTGCTATTACACTATGATCTACCATTTAAAAAGAAAAACAGGATTCATTTGATTTCCAAGTTGGAGATTAGCAGAGTTTAAGTGAAGAATTCTACGTACAAAGGCCAGATCTTTGGAAAGAGATTAGAAAGAGCTAGGCACATGGCCAATTCTCCTTCTCTTTCCCTCCCTTATGTTTCTGGCGTTCTTGTGTCTCTTAACTATAATAAATGGGCCTTTTCAGCACAGCCCACTTGGAGAAGTTCTACCAGAGGGTGAACAGGCTCTTGCTCTGACCATGCTGCACTGTGCACCATGACGCTTCCCTGCCTAGCCCAGTGTTTCAACTACAATAGTTGGAACAAATAGGTACTTTGTTGCTGTATCCTTTTATTATACCAAACTATGAATTGCCCAATAAATATATCACACAAAAAAAGAAGGGCAGCTAAAAACCCCAGTCAAATCTCTGTCTCCTCACAAGTCCTGCAAAAGGAGAAATGGGACACAGCAGGACTGGAAACGCATACCTGGCTTGACTGTCACATTGACATGGCCTTCCCCATGGGCATTGTGACCATCTACTATCACTTTGAACTCGTACAGGCCTGGAGTCAGCTGCAGAAGCAAGAGATCTTTTAGACAACCACAAAGAGCAGCAACTTTATTTAAGAGAACATATATAGCCCAGCTTTTCATGCTGAATCTTGCACTCTTTTCTTGCCCTAATTTCAAAAAAGATACTGTAAACTAGCTGAAGATATTAAAAAATGAGTTAAACTAAAAAGAAATACAGCTTTTAATGTGGATCTTATTACTAGCTGCCTCTGGAACAACAGAAGGGATTTCAATCTCTCTGTACTCCCATTTTCTTCTGAGAAGAACATTAAGGGCCCAACCATCCTGCTTCACAGAGTTATGAAATTAAAATAATTATCTCTTCAAAGAAAAACATCTTGTAAAAATACCAAGTAGCTCCCACATATCTGAATATTTTCCTCTCCCAATTTCTACTATGTATAAACATAATATAAAGGAGGGGGACCCAAATCATCTACAGTTTCACTTCTTTAACCTATCAGCTCATCATATGTTTCTGTTTCCTTCCACTCCTTGACCACATACAAAAAATAGTTTTATATACTTCATTCATTCAACAAACTTGTACTGAAAACCAATCATGTACCAGTCACTGCCCTAAGCTTTGAGTCTGGAGGTGACACTACCTTTGAGAAGCTCAGATTTTAGTGTTATTTAGGATCTAGCTAAATGTAAAATATTGAAATTTTTATTGTTATTTTTTCTGTTCAATAGCACAAGCCTCTTTCCCATTATGATACAGTCTTTTTGATATTATTTTAATGACTACAGAATACCATATGTAATAATTAAGTTTTCTACATTTTCCTAATTTTGGGGTTGTTTCCTAATTTCTACCACTATGATTAATCCTATAATGAACATCTTTGGAGAAAATGATTTGTTTCTGTCTCTCTTTTTCCTGTTTTTCTCTTCCTTCCTTCTTTCCTACTTTCCTTCCTTCCATTCATTTATCTTCTGACTGATTCATTTACCTACTGACTGATTACATGGAGGAGTGCTAGCTGCTTTGTCCTTAGCGTGCTTGCTCTCGGGGGCTTTCCTTCTCTACCCAACCTCATTTCCTTTTGGTTCCTCCCACCCCTTACATAAACAACATGCCCTGTGGCTCCAACCGCAGCCTGCTCATTTCTTCACTCCATACAGCTTCCCTAATTGAGCTTACCTATGACCATGGCTTCAATTACTCCCTGAGGCTGATGTGCACATTTATCTCTTTATCCTAAACTTGTCTCCTGGTCTCTTGCCCCTTTTCCCAGCATCTAACAGGACCAACTTGTCTCAACAGGACCTCAAACTTACTCTGCCCCAGATCCTCAAACCCGCTACTCTTTCTATGCACCTCCCTTCAGTGCATATCCACGTAGATGTCTAAGCCAAAAAGCTAGAATTACCCTAAACTTCTCTTCCCAGCCCAACCCAATTACTTGATCATCACATTTTATTGAGTTAACTCCCAAACTATTTCTCAAACCTACTCACTCATTTTCACCCACACTGCTATCATCTTATTTTCTGACCACTCACCATAGCAGTTATTAAAGCATGGGCTAGAGGTAGAAAGTTCTAGTACTTTTGTAAGTGCTGGGATTGAATCCAAGGCCTCATGCATGCTAGGCGAGTGCTCTACCACTGAGCTATCCCTAGCCCTTTTTATTATTATTTTGAGACAGTCTCACTAAGTTGCCCAAGCTGGTCTTGAATTTGTGATCCTTGTATCTCAGCCTCTTGAGTACCTGGGGATTACAGGCCTATGCCACCATGGCTTAAGCCTACCATTTACTAGCACTGTGAACTTTGACCAAACTATTTCCTTTGTTCAACTTTTAGTTTTGTCATTTGTAAACAGATATTAATACCTGTACCTTGAGAATGTTATGAAAATAAAAACAAACAACTGAGCAAAACAATTACTACCATGTCTGGTACATGGTATAAGCTCAACAGGTGATTTTTTATTTTAATTTTTTTGAGTTAGCTTTTTTACTCAGGATAATATCACTTCCCACCTAAATTTTTCTATATATTCCTCATTGGTCTTTCTGTTTTGAGTTTTACTTTCTCCAATCTATGTACAAGGTTCTCTTTCTAAACTAAAAATCTGAACTCTTTCCCCTGCCTAGAACCTTTCAAAGATTTTCTATTTCCCCTGTATAAAATTCCAAGTCCTTTATGTGGCATACAAGAGTCCCCCTATCTGACACCTGACCTCTCCAACTCACTTACACTGCTACTCTTATCCCAGCAGAGGTCCAGGCAGGTTGAGGCACATACAGCATTCCTTTTCCTAAATTTTCTCTCTAGTTCTTGGCCCAGTAGACACACAGTTGCTTCTGCTCTGGGCTACTCTCCCTCTGCCTCATCTTGGGAAGTCACCTTTTATAACCCAAGCAGGCAAACTCTAAGAAATCTGCTCTAACTCTCCACACCTCCAATGACCCCATGTACTGACCTAGTATGCCAAGTGCTGTAATTACCTGCTTCTTGTCAGTGTCGCCTAGACCCTAGTGTCCTTGAACATTAAGATGATTAGTTCACTGGTTAATTCCAAATGGCAGCAACATAACCACTGTACAATGAATAGCAACTGAATGAATAAATCAATGTGATTGCTGGGCCGAAGAATATGAACATTTTTATGGTTCTTAATAACTACACTGAGTCCCAAAGGGACTGAGCCAACATACACAGTCATGTGGCCACAAATAACCTAGTTTATCTCCCAAATTCTAAAATCCTTATGCTACCCTTCAAATCTGTTTAGTGTGTATTTTCAGCTATCACTACCATGCTGGTACAGTCTTCTCGCCATAAATGAAAATTTGAGAATCATACACTAACAAACACTGGATGTCAGCCAGTCAGACTTTTGGAGGAGTCACTTCTGGAAAATTGTTCACAACTTAAGTGTGAACAGAAAATTGTATATTATTCATTTTAGAAAACAGTCAACTCTCTAAGCCCAGCAATTGAAAGGAAGCAAATTCACCTTAGATAGTTTCAGGATCTGTGAATGCTGCCCTTCCATTTCTCCACTGTAGTCTTTAGGATGAGTAATCAGCTGCCAGTCGTAGGTGTAGGTTTCTCCTATAGAAGGGCAGTTACAAAAATCATGAAAACACACACCCACACACAAAAAGGCTGCCAATAACAAATCTTTTCTAAAGCCTGCCAATAACGAATCTTTTATAAATCTTGACAAGGTCTTTGTTTTTAAGATTGTACCCCAAAACTTACAGGGAATCCAAACCATCTGCTGAATGAAAGGATAGGTTCTGCTGACTCAGCTACTTAGGACCGTCCCCTTTCTCTGTCAGCTGGTTCACTCCAGACCCCTACTCACCCTCAGACCAATCCTCCCTACAGAAAACACCAGACTGCTCATGCTATAGCACCTCACTGAAAATATATGCCCTATCAACCACTACAGATGAACTCATCAGGAACAAAGGCCACTTTCTTATAAAACTTCTTCACAACAAAGAATAGCAATGACTTCTAAATAACACGGTTCAAAAATAGCTTTTTTACAGAGTGCTAACAATGCTCCTCTCACTGAGGTCATCACATCCTGGTGAGTTAAAAGAGCTACTTCATTCCTGCTGAGCTAAATAACACACTGCAGAAGATGGTAGGGTATGGCCCATTTAAAACAGGCCCCACTGAAATTAATTAAGACCAAATGAAGCAGTAAATGGTCCTCATTTGCAGCTCCGATGATATCAGTGAGAAGCACAAGAGTAGAATTCCTCCCCAGTATAAGCGGTCTTAATTTTTTTTTTAAAGAAAATTCCTGTCTGAGAAATGGCAGAATTTGGTAGGTTTCGTTTAAATTATTACATAAAAGAGAAAAAGGACCTCAAATGCTCAGCAAGGTGCGGTCATTTTTAAAATTTTTTTTGGTATGCATTCATATGTTAAAGTTGGCGTGCAGAACCTAATTCCAAGATATCCTTCATCTGAGGACCAAGTTTTTTGTTTTTTTGTTTCTGAGGCAGAAACAGTTGTCTTTGTTGGGCTCAGACCAGGAGTGTGTAGGTCTTGAGGATCTCTGAACTTGCCAGATTTTCTTCTCCACTTTCTTTTCAGCCCGTTTCCGTAGCCTCATGTCTGCTGCTTCTTCCTCTTCTCCAGGGTGACTGTCACCGCCTGGTACTTCCAGCCAACCTCATACCCAGGTGGCCCAGGTAGGCAAACTTCCCCATTGGCTTCAGGCCCAAGTTTTATTTTATGAGCCTGAGACTCAAGACTTCCTCCCTCCACCAAACTAGCACTGTTCTGGTCAATCATCAGCCCTGGCCACTCATGCATACACATGAGCCACAGGCAGCAAAGAGGCAGCAGAGGCAGATCTCACACTAAGAGATACTTATTCCAGCTGTACTTGGGAAGTTTTTCCACACAGAAAACAGACACATATTAATTTGGGGAACTAACTGTTTTATACTATCTAAGGCTATCAACACAAAATTTAAAAAAATAAAAAGCTGCTCCTAGGACACAAAAGCTCAGAAGATGAATTATGCCTTACAAAAAGAAATCTAGATCCGCCCATGGTGGAACTTCAGTGGCTGAGCAAGAAAGCAACTCACCTCCCTGTCTGCTAAGCACCGCCGGCATGAGCCAGGAAGAGAACCAGTCAGCATCTCCACGACCCTACCAGCACATGGGCTGAGAACAAACATCCCATCCTGGCCCTCACGCCCATTAGCAGCTGGGGGCAGAAGGCTGAGCATCTCTTGGGAGGTTGACTATATGCAATATAGCAAATATGGGAGATTTCCTTCTATCTTCTGTTTGAAGGCAAATACTGTTTTCACTATTTTGTTTTGTTCTGATTAATTGTTTTGCTCTACTCAATATTCTCTTTTGGTTGGTTTTATAATGTTCTGCTTTGGGTTTGATTTTGCTATAGCTAATTGAATGGACAACTATTGTGAAGATAACGAGATATACTCTGGTACCTATTACTGTTATCCCGGTATCCTGCTCTAAGTTCTGTACCAGTTTCACTGCATTGTCTTGATTGGCTTTGTTCTCTCTTGTTCTGTTGTATTTTACTACCTTCAAAATAAAATAAAGATAGGAAAGACTGACTAAAGTATATTAGGCAGAAGGCTGACTACAATGCTTTAGGGCAGTGGTTCTGAAACCAGACTTCTGAGCCCTACATGGACCCTAACACACCGCCATAGGGCAGGAAGGGATTGGAGAACACATACAGTTGGCTCTGCCTCAGTGTCCCCAACCTCAGAAAGCCTGAGATCATCCACCTTCCTAGTCTGATTAAGACTGAACAGCCTGGAGAAGGGGAGCTGAGAAGAATCTGCTTCTGAACTAATGCTTTGTAATACTGCCCTACAAGACGACAGTAACTCAGAGAAGAGTTCTCAGGTACAGGTAAGAAAAAAATGCTGTAGAGCAGTGTATCTTTCCAAAAAAGTACAGGTAATCACAGCTCGGTGCAGTGCTTTTCCACTCCTCTACCCTCAAAGGCCTCCAAACCCACTTAGATTAACTTGCCACCCAAAGGAGGAAGCAAAGAGCTTCTCCAAAGGAAGCTGCAATAAGTGATAAAAATCTCTCAATCTGAGAGAAGAACACAATATAGGAGGTATTTGTATTCTAGGGAAGTATTTTTGCATAAATATACTATTTGGTGGTAGGCCCAAAAATAAAGAATACAATTTTGAAAAGGACGTGTCCTGAATATGGAGGAACATTTTGATTGACTAATTTTTTTTGTCTTTTTTTAAACAGGGTTTCACTAGGCAATTCATGCCAGCCTTGAATTTGCCTTGGAGCCCAAGGTGACCTCGAACTCACAGCAATCCTTCTGCCTCAGCCTCCCAAGTGCCTGGTTTACAGGCATATGCCACCACACCTGGACCTTGATTGACTACTTTTTAGTGGCAGCAATATAGACTCAATCAGAACACTTTCCAATACTTCACCATATCACAGGGGTTCCTAAGAGAATATGCTTGTTCAGCGGTATCAGCGCCTGCCTTGCAAGCAGGCAGTTGTGAGTTCGATCCCCAGTACCGATAAAAAAGAAAAAGACAAAAAAAAAAAAAAAGAGAGAATATGCTTGTAAGTCAGACTTTGGTATATTAACATAATACTTCAAAGGTGAAAGGGTGGTCACTTTACAAAGGTTTTCTTAAATAGTGAATTAATTATCTACTAAATCATACTTTATAAATTGGAATTTTATGTAACACAAAAGTGAGTTTTTTTTGTTTTTTTTTTTTAGGCAAGATCTCATGATATAGTTCAGGCTGTCCTTGAACTTACTATGTAGCCCAAACTGGCCTCAAACTTGAGGCAGTCCTCCTACCTCAGCCTCCTAAGTGCTGGGATTACAGTCATGAGTAACCACACTCAGCTGAGTTTATTTTTTAAATGACAAATCCATTGCAGAATAATCTCTCCAAATTCTACATTTGCTATTTACTAGTTGCTTGGCTAAAACGAACAGGTTAATCTATCAGGGTTTTTCGCTATCATTTTTGATTGAACCCAGAGCCTTGTGCATGCTGGGAAAGTACAGTTAACACTGAGTTATGTTCCTAGCCTTTTAAATTTTGAGTCAAACTCTGTAAGTCAGCCTTGAAATCATGATTCTCTTACCTCAGTCTCCTGAGTAGCTGGGTTTATAGGTGTGTGCCACAATGCCCAGGTAAGAGATTAAACTAATCCTCAGTTTCGTGTTCTTAAAGTGGGTATAATACAACCTAATATATAAGACCTACAATTGATAAGCATCAGCTGTATGGTAGTTACTGAACTAGGTGATTTATATAATATCTCATTTGTCCCTTAAACTAAGCTAGTGAAGTGGGAACTGTTACTCTAGTATTTTCTAAGAAATAGAAACTCAAAGAAGTCATTTGCTTAAAGTCATTCAACCAGTGGCTGGGATTTGCACACAGGCTTGACGAAAGACCCACGATCCCAAACTCTACATTACACTGCCTCTGGTGTTACACAGATACTCACATGCCCTCATGCTGTTTCATATCCCATACCTCACTGGACTGTTGTAAAGAGTGAGCTGTGTGTGGTGGGAATATCACTGGAAATTAAAATGTTATCCAAATGTAAAGGGATTTTTTTTTTTTTTTTTTTACCTTGCTCTGGTTCTTGGAGAACATACGCATTTAACTGAACTTCATTCTTAGGCAGGGTTATCTGGACACTCTTTCCAGCAGACACCACCAATTCTTTTACCACTGGAAACAAAGCACATATACGAGTAATAAGAAATGCATCCGGACTGCACCATGTCTCTCCTGCTTTGTGCCTGAACTCTTCTCCTGAATGATATTCAGCTAATGCCTTCCTTTTTGAATTATATTTTACTCTCTGGTCACCCAAAGCTTGACTCTGCCTTCACTTTCCCATTGAAAAGGGTTTCTCAAGGTCATCATGAGCTGTTCCTTAGTAAATCTAAATGTGACTGGATCCTCCCTCATCACTGTGGTGGCCTCTACTCCTGCTGACACTTCCGCCTTAGGTAAATAGCTCTTGGTTATCACCCCATATTCTACTTTTCTTCCTTTCCTTCTGACTTTTTCTCCATTGTATTTTAACTAGGATATTTTCCTAAGTCCTCTTCATATATTACTTTCCGAGTTCAAATTCTGTCTTAAGGGTCATCTTTATTCTGATAAATAACTTTTTGGGAGTAGTGGGGGAGTTGAGGTAAAGTCTCACTATGTAGTTCAGATTCACCTTGAATTTGTGGCAATCCTCCTGCCTCAGCCTCCCAAGTGCTGAGATTACAGGCATACATTACAACACCTGACTGTTTTGTTAAGTATCTTTTTATTAAGATACATAAATAAGAAATGCAAATGTCAGAGAACCTGCCTTTCTTTCCATTACAACTGCTACAACCCTTGATTTATTGTTCACAATTAGATTATTCCAAGAATTTTGTTTGTTTGTTTGAGACAGGGCCTCACTTTGTAATCCAGATTAGCATCACACTCAGCAATCCTGCCACCTCAGTCTCTCGAGTGCAGGGATAACAGCCATGCACCTGGACCATAGTTGGCTTATTCCAAGAATCTTAATCTCCCTTCTACTAGGTCTCTCCCCACTTCAGTCTATTCTGTTTCCTAAAACAGTTTCCACTATTAGTCCTTCTAAAATACTCACCCACCACGTACGTCTCCTATTGAAGACCCCCAATCCTACATCATGCTTAAGCAAAGCGCCTAACTTGGCATTAGAAAACCACCATCATCTAATCACATCGTTATCGCTTTACTAACCCAATTCTCACTCTAGTTACATGAATTTTCCCTCGTGCTCCATGAAGCCAGGGTCTACTCTGGAGCCTGGGTATCAGTGGCTTCCATCCACCCCCCAGGATGTAACTTAAAATATTCACAGACCACTGAGAACCCTGGTTATAGGAATCTCATTTCTTCCCTGATAGCGACTGTTCATTTGTATAAAACCTCAACACTAAGAGGGCTTAAAGCAAACCACAAGCTGGGTGGCTCATATTTAAGACTGGGAGGTAAGAGGACTTCCTAGATAAATATGAAATTTGAGATTCATCTGCTTCTTTTTGGGAACAGTGCACCAAGAGAAACATGAAACCATCCTTTATGGAAGCTGCAGCCTCCACATGCCCCAGGAGATGGAATAAGAGCTCTCTGAAGTGACTTTCAGAAAAAGAATAAAGGAAACCATTATACTCACAAAAAGTACCATGGACCAAAAAATAGTCAATACAGAACAACCCAAACCCTTCATGATTACACTGAAAAGTATAGGCATATGGCCTGAACACAAAAATTATTTTGGTGTGTCAGGACTGAAACCATAAAAGTTTATTTTATATTACCACACGAGGAGATCTTGCGAAATTAAAAACTGAGAAAAATTTGTTCTTACAGGCTTTGCCTTACCCTCTTGATTTTTTCAAGATTAACAATAATCACTGATTAATCATTTCCTTATTCCTTAGAACAGCACTTATGAAGCAAAGACCTACTAAAGCAACTCTCTATATGTAAATGTGCCCATGAGTTGCTTTAAAAATGAAGATGCTCTTAAAAATCAGAGAGACAAATAAGCTGACCTAAAACAGATACAGTGATCCCACTCTTTCTTGCTAGCAGCCTCTGCTTGGATCCTTGAGCATTACTTAATTGAACTTCATGCCTTGAAGCCACAGTGGAACCTGACTCTGAGAAAATGAGCCTCATAAAATTCCACAGGCTGGGGACCTGCTGAGAAAGAGATTTAGAGCCCCGAGCCCTGTGATTACAAAGGCACTGTGATGTACAGGATTCAAGCCATCCATCCCTCTGTTCTTTTCTCTAAAGAGGACACTCATCAAATGTTCTACTTTCCCATTTTATCTCCAAGGACAGGAGCAAAGGGTCACCTGGTGGCAATGCTGGGGTGCTCTGGAAAGAGGCTTGGGGTGCAGGTGTAGCATAACTGGTAGCCATTGGAAGAGGGACAGCAGCAGTTTGGGTTTTCCCAGGGTTCTTTCCTTGCTGAGAGCTGAGTGCAGTATCGAGATCTTCTGATGTTTCAGGTTGCACTGAAACATTCTTTGGCCAACCAGGACTCTCTGCAGTCAGGTTTGTGGTTAAGGGACTGGAACTTTTAACTTCCATGTGGACCTAATGAAATGCAAAAATTAATTTGAATAGGCAAAAGTTACAGTTTCTCAGTATATGTTTCATGAACCAAGAGCACATTAGATAATTTCTCAAAAAATGACAAAAACATTAAAAGAACTTCATCTCGCCAGTTGAAAACAACTAGTATTAAATGTTCAGATAAGGGCAGGGAGTTTAGCTCAGTGGTAGTAGGGCACTTGCCTAGTATGCTGCAGGCCCTGGGTTTGGTGCCCAGAAGTGAAAAAAAAAAAAAAGATATAAAGCTGGTTTTTTTTTCCTCTACAGAATTTCAATTAAAACAAAGTAGTCATAATCACATTATCTGTACACTTTTAGCTTCTTGTGTGAACACTTATATTAAATCATTCTATAAATACTTATTGAGCCCCTATTGTGGAACAGACCTTGTGGATCCAAAATATAAATGAAATTAGTCATTTTGCTCACATGTAGGGGAAAGAGAGGTCAAAATATAGTAAATCAAAGTGGTAAATATACCCATGAAAGTCATGATGCACTAAAGAAACAATTTGAGAGGTTCTTTGGTTGGTGTGGTTAAGGATGGATTTAAAAAAAAAGAAAAAGGCTTCCTGAACAACAAGAGTGCTAAGCTGAGTTTTAAAGGACAAAATGTTATTACAAACACACACACACACACACACACACACAGGGTGAGGTGAGAGGCTGAAGACAGGAAATTGTCATGTGTTTGCTGGAAACTGAGAGGGGGAGAGGCAGTGATAAAGGAAGATGACCTGGAAAGAAAGCCAAAGTCAGGCAGAAGGCGCCGCAGGTCACTTTAAGGAACCAAGCTGGTGAGCAACTGAAGTTGATGGGTAAGGAAGTGACAAAATCACCTTTCCATTTTACAGGTCCCACCGTAAAAGGGTGGGTTTGAAGAAGCTAAGTGACAGCAGGCATACCACTTTCTCTCATCCAAATGAGAAATGGCGAGTGGCTAGATAAGGGTAATAGTCGGAGTCTTAAAAATCAACATAGTGGAAACATAATTCACATAAAATCAACTGCATACATTTCAAGAAGATAAAGCCAATCTTTTGACAAATGCATATACCCACACAACTACAATTAAGAGAGAGGATGTATTTTGGCCCCAAAAGTTCTCTCATACCACTCTCTGTAAATTCTTACCTTGATCTCAAGGCTTAGGCATTCACTGATTTGTTTTCTGTCACAGTAAGATTAGTTTGGCTTTTCTTAAATTTCATATAAGAGAAATCATATACGTACTTTTGTTTTTAGATGTCTCACTATATAGTTCCGGTTAGCCTTGAATTTGTGATCATCCTCCTGCCTCCGTGATTCTTCTTTTTTTTTGTCTTTTTCCTTTTCATTGGTACCGGGGATTGAACTCACGACTGCCTGCTTGCAAGGCAGACACTTGTGCCGCTGAACTAAATCCCCAGCCCCTTCCAAACTCTTCTTGACTTGATAGTTTGTGTTGACAAATTTGTTGTGATTCTGATTGATTTTCCTTTATAGGTGATCTGTCTCTTTTCTCTAACAGCTTTTAATATTCTGTTCTTGTGCTGAATTTCTGGGATCTTGATTATTATATGTCTGGGTGTAGATTTACTTTGGTTATGGCCAGTTGGAGTTCTATATGCCTCACTTATCTGCATGCCAGATCCATTTCCCATGTTTGGGAAGTTTTCTTCTATTGCTTCTGTGAATTTCCTTTTAATTTCATTTGTGTTGACCCCTGCTTCTTCATTCATACCTATCACTCTTAAATTATGCTTCTTTGCATCATTTTATAACCATTGAGTTGTTATTTCCTGGTTCTGTGTTATTTTTAAGAGGTCTTTCCTTTCACGATCACTAGCTGCAGTCCTGTCTTCAAGGTTTGAAAGGCTATCTTCAGTCTCTCAAGAGGTTTTGCCAGCTTTCAATTGAATTTTTAATTTCCTGTATTTCTCTTTGACTCTATTTCATGCACTGTAATTTTTTTCTACATTCATTCAAGGTTTCCATGATTTTCCTATGTTCCTCTTTATTGTCTATGTCTTCTTTAGACCTGCAGAACAATTCTTTCATTATGTTTGTGATTTCTTCTTTTACCTGAGACATTATTTCTGATTTGACTGCTTTTATAATCTCATGAAGCTGTTTCCGTACTTCAGTCGCTATTCTCTCAGAGATTTCAGGTGTGTGACTTCCATTTTCTTCCATGACTGTATCTCCCAGACTCACTGTGTGTGGGCTAGAAGTCTGAGTTTGCCTTTTGCTCCTTTATCTTGACATTCTCCTGGGTTCCTCCCAACAAGCTGGTTGCAGGGTCCCAGGTACTTGTCATGCTGGCTGCCACTAAGCAGTATAGGAGGATGGGAAAAGCACCCAGGTTCCTCTAATTCTAGATGTACAGGGAGGTAGCAGGGTGTGGAGTGGGTTTCTCCAGACGTATGCAGCTACACTGGGGCTTCACTGATGATCAGGGGTACATGGAGGTGAGGCTGCTTCTCTCAGCCTGTGTGTCTACACTGGGATTCCTATGATGGTGGCAGACACACAAGGGTGTATCTGTCTCATTCTGCTAGTGGATGATGGCTGCCTGAGGGAGCCAAGGGCCTCCAATGGTGGCCTACGGACGCACAGGGCTCACCTGGCTGTGTGTCCCTGCTCCTGCTGGCTGCCTGCAGGAAGAAGCCTTCTGAGGGTAAAGAGGATCTGCTGGTTCTCTCTGCCCACACTGGCCGCCTGTAGGATGTGGCCTTTTGGTGGTGGCACACTGCCCATGCTGGGCATGCAGAAGAAAGGGCCTTCACTTTTTTCTTTCTTTCTTTTTTTTCTTTCTTCCTTCCTTCCTCTTTCTTTCTTTCTTTCTTTCTTTCTAGGATCAAACTTACAACCTCTTTGCGCTTCCCAAGCACAAGCTGTGCCTACTGCTGAGCTATATTCCTGGCCCCCCAGTATTTTCTAATTTTTTTCTTTTCTTGAAATGAAGTCTCTCTCTCATTTAGCTCCCCAGACTGATTATAACTCATAAGCATGTTTTCTCAGCCTCCAAGTGCTGGCATTAAAGGTATGTGTCACCACCCAGTCAAGTTTTAAAGCATATTTCTAACAGTATCTTGATGTTTTATTAAATCTAATGGCTGAACCCACTCAGGATCCATTTCTATTAACCAATTTTTCCCTGTGACTATGGGTCACACTTTCCTGATTTTTTTTTTTTTTGAAGTCTCATAATACTTGGTTGGAAAGTATACATCTTAAGTAATATAACATAGAAACTCTGGATTCTGTTTTATTATTCTAATGGGCTGCTGATTATTTTTGGTAACCTACCTATACTTCAAAAGTAGTATCTGACTTCCCTACAGTATGCTGCTACAGATATCTTGGCTCAGTTTTTCTCTTTTATTTCCAATTTATCTATTTATTTATGCATACATCTGCTCCTACAAATTGAACAAAGGACTTCATTAGGAAAGACCCAGTCTTGTTATTCTTGTTTTTGTTTTAGCTTGGCTTCCTACGTCTGTACAATTTAGTAGTTGGTGATTTGAGAGAGGTTGCTTATACACCTTATTAAAACCATTTATTTCTCTTTTTGTCTTTCTCTGTGTGTGCCTCTCTGTTTCTGTCTCCCTGTCTCTCTGTCTCTGTCTCCCTGTCTCTGTCTGTCTGTCTGTCTCTCTCTCTCTCTCTCTTTCTGAGAGACATAAGAGATAAATATGAGTAGGTAAGAGTGAAATATATTCAGAGGAAAGGCAGTCAATAGAGACCAACTCCAAGTTGACTCAGATGTTGGAATTAGTAGCCAAGATATCTTGACTCAACTTTGAGTTGGTTTTTGTTGCCTGTCTTTCCCCGCAGAGTACATGTTACTCTTTTTTTTTTTTTTTTAACTTTGCTGGACTTTCTGTCTAGAACATGTAGCTCTGGATTTTACTGTTTTCTTTGGAACTGCCTTTCCCCCTTAGCGTACCCCTACCCCACCCCATTCCAATAGGCAAGTAACTTATCTGGACTTAAACTGTAGACCTCACCTCTTCTGCAGTGTTCAACAACTGATATCGCTCTATGTAATTTTTACAGCTGCTTTTTCTGCCTGTGTAGCTGATAACAGGACAAGAATTTAGCCAGAGGTTATACTCAGATTTAGGGGCTGTTCTCACTGTGCTTTTGTTGGTTGTAGAAATTCCTAACTTTTCAGTCTTTCATTATATCCCCAGACATCTCCACCACCAGACTTCACGTTTCTGCCATCTGATTCCTTGTGGCTGGGAAACAGAGTCAGTTTAAAAAGCAGTAAACTCACAAGTTCTTCTGGTGGCACTCTCGTCTCCGCCTGCTTTTTCCCCAGGCAGATGCAGTTTACAGGTTAAACTAGGGACCCTAGTTTATAGACAGCTGTGGAATTCACCCTCTTTTGTGATTTTCTCATTCAAAAGGTCCTCCTGTTAAATTTTCAGGTATTTTGTATACTGTGAGCTCTGTTCCTGGTCACCATAAGAAAGTAAGGCTTTCCATGGCCATCTCCTCTGCTGTGGACATTATGGAATACCCCCAGGCAAAAACTTTTAAAGCTGCAAATACATAACACTTATCATTTCCAGTTGCCATTTTTTTAAAATAAAACTTTGCTTTAGCTTTCATCTGCTCTGGAGTCTTACCATTTCCTTTAGAAACTTTTTAAAAAATAGATTATTAACTGTAGAAAGATTCAGGAGACTACTTCATTCTACCATCATTACTGGAAATTCCTCCTGTGAGATATGTGTTAAAGTACTAGGGTCTAATGTTTATAAAGCTGAAATAGATCTGAGATTTGGGGAAAAGAGTCTAAGATGACACCTATGATTCTACCCTGAGTGAGGGACTAGTTATAGTAGCATCAAAAATGAAGACAGACTACAGAAAAGCAACCTTAAGGAAATAATAGGCCAGTTATGTCTTAGACATACTGAATCTAGAGTGCCTTTGGGAAATTCCAATAGAGCTCAGACTTGGATTCAAGTTCCCAAGGATAGCTGCTACAGGCACAAAGGACAAACAAACAAGCAAAAAATTTAAAAAGCATATAAGCAAACAGAAGTTCCTAAACAGAGTATCTGAAAATACCAAGGTTTAGGATGTCAGTAGATGAAATGGTCTACAAAACTGACAAAGAATTTATGGATCAGAAAGTAAGAAAAGAACCAGGAAAATGTGTTACAACAAGAAACAGTGTATAACTGCAATTAATAAGAACCAATGCAGAGAGACCCCGTCAAATAAAAACTTAAAAGAACACAATGCAAGTAGCAATTGTGAAGTTACTAGTGATGCCAGGAAGAGTAGCTTTGGTAGGAACCAAATTCCATGGGCTCAAGATTAAACAGAAGTGAATGGAGAAAAAGCAAATATAGACTGTCCCCCATATTCATAAAAAGCACAAAAGTACATTAGAATAGTAACTAAAGAGGCAAGTAGACAAAAATCAAGGATATATTTAAAAGTAATGAATTCGGGTAATAAGTACTGTGTTATGGTTTGGATCTTAAATGCCCCCCAAAATCTCATGCACTGAAGGCTTAGTCAGTGGTCAGAAGTGGGTCGTTGGGACGTGATTGGACCATGAAGGCTCTAACTTCATTAAGATGATTCCACTGAAGTACACATACTTTTGGGAGGGGGGAAGTGAGGATGGAACTCGGTGTCTAAGTCACTAAGTTCCCAAGGTAGGCTTCAAATTGTGATCCTCCTGCCTTAGCCTCCCAGAGTGCTGAAATTATAAGCCTGCACCACCACTCCTAGTTTGAATCCATAATTTAATGGGCTATTATTGGACAGTGACGAAACTTGGGAGGCAGGACCTAGTTGACAGAAATAGGCCTTTGGGGTGTGCCTTGAGGTTACGGTCTGTCCCAGACCCTTCCTCTATCTTTGCTTCCTAGCTTCCCGGCTGGCAGGAGGTGAGTAACTTTATGCCACCACGTGCTCCCTAATATGCTGTCCTACAGCACCACAAGCTTTGAGGCCCAGTGACCATGTACTGAAACCTCTGAAGCTGTAGGCCAAAATAATTTTTGCCTCTTTTTAAATTGTTTACCTCAGGTATTCTGTCATGGTGACAGAAAGCTGACATGATGTTCTTAGAATGAAAATACAGTGATAGAGGTTAGGGTATTGTACATTTAGGGGAACATTTGAGCCCATTCTGGAGAAGTGAATATAAGAGAAGGCTTCCTAGAACTGAGGCTCAGAAAAGTCTTGAAGAATTAGTTTTGTGGGTAAATGTCATAGTGGTTTGTAAAGAGGGAGAAAGCATGGTAGACTTCTGCTTCCAGTCAAGATGGAATAAATAATAGAGAGTAGATTTATTCTTCTATCTGAAAGCATTTTTTTATTTTAAAGAGAATAAAACAATACACTAAAATGAAACAAAACAATGGAAACGATATTGGATTTCAAAAACAAGGCAGTAGGAAATCAACCATGGTTACTGTAACGCACACTGCTATCCTCTAAACAGATGCTCAGACCACCACACACAGGCATGCAGAGTAAGCACCAAGTTGTCTCTTTACTTCAGCTGCCATCACCTCAGAAATTTCAGGTGTGAGCTTCTAATTTCTTTTGTGTCTCTGTCTCCTGGACTTGTTCTGGGTGGGCTGGAGGTCTGAGATTGCCCCTGTCCTTTGTCTTTACATTTTCATGTGTTCCTTCCAATCAGCGGATTGCTGAGTCCTGGGTGTTTCCTGCATTGGCTGCCTGTTCCATGGTGCAGAGGATTGGACTAGGCACCTGGGTTCCTCTGATCTGCAGTTCTGGCTCTTGGGCTCCCAGGGAGGAGAGCGAGATGGCCTCTTCTCCTCCAGCCATGGTGGTGGGCAAGGGCACTGGATTCTTCTCAGGGCCCACAGAGGCGGGCTCACTGGCGAGGGGGTGGGTATAGCTTTTCCTCAGGGATCTGGGTGGTGGGATCACCAGGGGTGAGTTGTTTCTTTCTAATGAACTGACCATTTCATTTCTAAAGTTCTGAAATGACCAACAGACCGTAGAAAGATACCACTGTAGGCTCCTGCTTGAAACCAGCAGCTTCAGAAAACTGCTGGCCTTGATACAGAGCCAGTGAAAGAATTTTTTAAATCAGACAAAATATATGAAACAATCCGCAACATGTGGGAGATAAAGTAATGAAAACAGAAATTCCTAAGAGATGAAAAATAAGGTGAGACTTATTATTAAGAGGAGCTGGAGAAAGAGTGTGGGCCATAGTGCAAGAAAGAATCCAAGCCGAGACCAGCATTGTGCTGGAGCTGAACAGATATATCTAGGAGACCAGCAGAGAAGAGAACTATACAGAAACCCAAGTCTGAAGATCTGCATGAGACTCCACCCAGTCTGGAATTCAGTACTGGACATCTCATATATGTGAGAAAATTACCCAAAAGGATTAGAGGAACAGTGTTCAAGTTCACACAGGCTAGGGACAGCTTAAAAAAAAGTCATTATGGAAAACTCAATTCACAGGGCATCTGTTAGGGTACTAATAAAAGAATGCCTCAGTCATACAGACTAACTGCAGCTCTGGACTTACCTGATGAAGCTTAAAAGCAAAATTCAAAAGGATCAAATTGTTTTGAAATAGGTTAGTCTAGAACAAAACTCAAGAATTTCTGTGGTGATACAAAAATATCCAGCACCCTACCAGGTAAAATTTATCTGGCGCCTAATCAAAAATATCACAACATTCAAAGCAGCAGGAAAATGAATTCTATTATACTGATTAAAACTAATCCAGGGCTGGGGATGTAGCTCAGTGGCATAAGTGCCTGCCTAGCAAGCACAAGGTCCTGAGTTTGATTTCCAGTACCAAAACAAAACAAAACAGAAAACTCAACAACTAATCCAGGCCTGGGAGTATAACTTACTCATAACAGATATTTTTCTAGAACACACATGAAGCCCTGAATTCTATTCCTGGTATCACAAGGGAAAAAGAACTATACTACTATATAGTATAAAGAACTGTGACTACTTACTAGTTAAAAGAATAAACACATAGGAAGAGATAATTTTTTTGGGGGGGTGCTGGGGGGCTGAACTCACAACCTCACACTTGCCAGGCAGGCGCTTGTGCCACTGAGCTAAACCCCCAGCCCTGAGATAACAATCATTAACATGTACAGCACACCCAACTTGATAAAAACAAGTATTACTGGACATAAAAGACAAAATAAGCATAAATACAATTATAGTTAAGGACCTCAATACCCCACTACCACAAATATACAGATCAAGACAAAAAAGTCAACAAATAAATACAAAAATTGAACAAAACTTCAGATTTAATAAAGTACAGTGTTCCACCCAACAACAACAGAATATGTCTTTTTCTCAGGAGCACATGGCACTGTCTCCAACATAGACCACATAGTAGCCAATAAAGCAAGCTAAACTAAAATAATTGAAATTACACTATACATATTATCAGCATAGTACAATGAAATCAGAACTCAGTGACAGGGCCAGGGATTTAGCTCAGCGGTACTGGCTCCTGCCTGGCAAGCGTGAGGTTGTGAGTTCAGTCCCCAGTACCAAAAAAAAACTATCAAATTAGAAATCAGTGACAAAAAAATACAAAATTATATAAATGCATTGAACACTCTTAAGTAAGCAATGGGTTAGAGACAAAATCAAGCAAGAAATAAGACAGTTTCTAGGACTAAATAATAAAGCTAATACAAAATGCAGAATTTAGGGAACACAATGAAAGCAGTCCTAAGATAGAAATTTCTATCTGTGAATCACAAAAACAGAGCAAGTCCAAATAACTTAATGATGCTCATCAAGGTCCTAGAAAAACAAGAATAATATAAACCCAAAGCCAGTACAAGAAAGGAAATTATAAAGAATGGACCATAAACCAATGAAAATGATACACATAAAAATACAAAGAATGGATGAATCAAAGAGTTAATTTCTTAAAGAATAAACAAATAGACAAATTCTTAGCCAATCTAACCAAATAAGCAAAGGAAGCACCCAAATTAATACAACTAGAAATGAAAAAGGTGAAATCACAGAGAACACTACCAAGATAAAAAAAAAGATATTTGGTAAATCCATATGCTAATAAAGTAGAGAATTCAGAAGAAATGAATAGATTCTTAGATAAATATAAATTACCAAAACTGAACTAAGAAGATATAAAAACCCTTAATAATCCAATAACAGACAATGAAATTGAAGCAATCATAAAAAACTTACCAACTGCCAGTCACTTTGGTGCATGTCTATAATCCCAGTACTCAGGAAACTGAGGCAGGAAGATTACTGCAAGTTTGAGATCGGCTTGTACTACAAAATGAGTTCAAGATGAATCTGAACTATATAGCCTGACTCGTCTCAAAAAAACCAAAATCAAAACCCCAACTTATCAACTAATAAAAGCCAGGTTGATTCATCATAAACTACAAAAACTTCAGGAAGATCTAACACCAATATTTTTCAACCTCTATAATGAAACTGAAATGAAAAGTCATTCCTAGAAGCTACCAATATCTTGATTCCAAAACCAGACAAGGCAAAAAAAAGAACTGCAATCTAATCTCTTTCAATATAGATGCAAAAAACCTTAACAAGATATTAACAGAATGCAACAAACAAATCATCAAAAAAATCATACATCATGACCATCCTAGAGATGCAAAGATGGTTCAATTTATGCAAATCAGTAAATGTAATACATCACAAAAATAAAAGCAAAGACAAAAATTGCACAATCACCCCAAAAGATGCAGAAAAACCTTTTCACAAAATCCAACATACTTTCACGATAAAACATTGAATAATACACATATAGAAAGATTTTATCTCAATTTGCTAAAAGCCATATATGACAAACCTACTGTCAACATCATATTTAATTGGGAAAACCTTAAAGTTTTCACTCTAAAATCAGAAACAGGACAAAGATGTCCATTATCACCACTCCTGTTCAATACAGTACTTGAAACATTAACAAAGGGCCATTAGGCAAGAAAAAGAAATTAAAAAGGGGTATGTGGAAAGGCACAAGTCAAATTATTATTATTTGCAGATGACGATCCCCTACATAGAACCCCCCAAAAAAGAACCACCAGAACACTCTTAGAATTAGGAACCAAAATTAGTAATATAGCAGGATACAAAATGAACACATTCAGAGCCTGTAATCCCAGAACTGAGGTGGGAGGATCGTTGTGAGCTTGAGACCAGCCTAGGCTATAAAGTGAGCTCAAGTCCAGCCTGAACTGCATAGAGAGACCCTGTCTCAAAAAGATAAAAAAAATGAACACATAAAAGTCAATAGTGTTCTTGCACACTAATAATGAACCCACTGAGAAAGACTTTAGGGGAAAACACCACTTACAAAGCATGAAGAACAACTAAATTTCTGTCTCCATTTGAGCAAGTCATTTATAATTTTCTTCAACAGGCACCATTGTAGAGAGGGGCCAACTGAACCCAGGACCCAAAGCACCTGTGAGTTGGCTTAATCTTAGGGGTCCTACTGTTAAAAACCCACAGTGCCTGAGTGAGGGACAACTACGTCAGACATCCAGGGTCAGAGAGTTGTGGCCAGGGCAGCAAGAGACATCCAGAGTGTTATAAACTAAAGGACTCAGGCCCAAACTCCATGACCGGAGGCCAGGATCAGCCGGAACATCTGTGGTTTTGAAAGTACCAGGACTAGCACCCCACCCTAAGCCTATTGCAGGTTTGCTGGGATTGCCCAGCACAGATCTGAGCTCTGAATGCCTCCTTATCTACCAGCAAGAGCTGAGTCACACCCCTGAATTGGACACTACCACCAAACTGTAGACCCCAGAAGATAACCACAGACAAGAAATCACAGAGAAATTGTTCTCATTGCTTGTGGGCTTCTTTTGTTATTGTTCATTTGGGGTTTTATCGTTTGTTTTTGGTTTTTTTGTGAGTGTGAATATTGTTTTAGTTTTTTCTTACTTTTGCTTTGTTTTGTTTCTTTCTTCTTTTTTTCCCTCCTGTCTTCTTTACCAGCTTCCTTAGGCTTGGATAATCTTCCTTTGTCCCTCAGTCTTGCATGTAATCTCATTCTCTTATTTCTCTATTTATTTTCCTTTTATCCCCTTTAAATCTTCTCCCCCTAGGGTAAAATTGCTTAATGGAGTGATTTACTGTGTATAATGTACTGATTGGACTTAGATTCTGTTATATAACTATAAATCTCGTACCCATGGTTAAAGGTGACAAATTAGTAATTTTTACAATTTGTCATTTTCACATCAAACTAGGAATAAAAGGAACTTTTTCTACTGGAAAGAAGACATTTTCAAAATCTAACATTGAAGTGAATGCTGCAAAACTGAAAATTCTAAAATTAAGAACATGACAAGAATGTACTTTTACTCAACACTGTATTTCAGGTTCTAGGCAGTGAAGCAAAGACAAAGAAGCAAGACAAAGAAATAAAACACATTCGGACCAGAAAAGAAGCAAACGTCTAGCCATAGTTGACATAATTATGCATAGATATAATTCCACAAAATTAGTCGTTTTTAAAAAGCTATAAGAACACTGGCCATAGTGGCATTTGCCTGTAATTCCAACATTCAGGAGACTGAGGCAAGAAGATTGCCTTGAGTTCAAGGTCACCCTGGACTACACAGTGAGTTTAAGGCTAGCCTGGACTATAACGCAAGACCATGTCAAAAAAAGAAAGAAAGAAAAGAAAAAGACTATAAGAAGTAATGAGTTTAATAAGACTCCAGAATACAAGATCAATATATAAAAAGCAATTGCATTTCTACACAATAGTAATGATCAGAAATTGATATTTTTAAAAATACCAATTACAAAAGCATCAAAATTATGAAATACTTAAGAATCAAATCTGACAAAAGATATGCAAGATGTGTACCTTGAAAATGATGACATATTGTTGAAGAAAATTATAAATGACTTGCTCAAATGGAGACAGAAATTATGCTCATGGGTCAGCAAATTTATTATTACCATTAGGCTGTCAATGCTAATTTGATTTGTACCCCGTAACACAATTCCAACAAAAGTTCTCAAAGGATTTTTAAAAAGAAATTGATAAAG